TTTGTACACGTTTCCAACGGTGGTCGGCCGACCAGCGTTGGAAAAACCTAACTATTTTTCAACTACTGCTCCAAATTTACTATTTTTTCAGTCCAAATTTTGTTTGCTATTGGTTACATGTTCATGAACGGATGCAGGCCAGCTAAGACTGGTTCCCTTGCCTTACATTTTTTCATCATCTATAAATTGATCCATTTTATCTTTTGTGGAGTCAGGGAACCAGACTAATTGAACCTTTTTTGTTTTTCTTGGTTTTTCCAACCTTTTCGAACACAAAACTTAAAAAATGTCAGTGTAACAATATTTGATCTATTATACTAACCCCTCAAATAGTTCATTTCCGAAAATTACAGCAAAAGCCAATGATGTACATTCCCTTTAAGACCACTATTTATGTGGCTCGCCCTCTATAGTGGTTTCGATCTCCACCACCAAACTCGATTTGGGGCCAACAACTCAAGAAATACACGCAGTGGCGTAGCCAAGGGGGGCGTGGGGGGCGATAGCCCCCCCCACTCCATCCTATGAAATCTTGTCGCCCCCCAGTAGCCTCCGCCCCCTCTCCCCCACTGAGATTTTGAGTTTCTAAAAATGTTATCATTGATCTACATGACGCCCCCATGAAATGTTCTAGACCCCCCCCCTCCAGTGCCCCCCCCCCCCCCCCCACTGAAAATTCCTGGCTACGCCATTGAATACACGTTATATTTAAATGAATTTTCCTACACTCATTTGTCATGATGTTTGGAATCAAAAGATTTCATTTCATAATAAAAACGTCACTTAATCAAGCTATTATGACCGTAACAATACAGGATTTTATTTGCAACCAATACAATCCTAATGGAAGTCAACATGGATTTTTATCGTTTAAAACACTAGATTGTTACGATCATATTATATTGATAGCTCCACGGTTCCTCACGCCATTCAAACGACTTCTGCTACACATCGTGAAAACTAATTGCACGAAATTTCAATTTAATCCATTTTGTATTTCTTGAGTAGTTAATCGGAAACGAGGTTGTTCTTTTTCTTCACTTGTGCAGCATCCGTATTGATGCGTTGTTGAGACCACTATTTATGTGGCGCGCCCTCTATTATATTGGTCTCGATCTCCACCACCAAACCCGATTTCGGGCCAACAACTCAAGAAATACACGTTACATTAAAATGAATTTTCGTACACTCATTTGTCATGATGTTTGGCATCATAAGATTTCATTTCATAAAAAAAAGTCAATTAATCAAGCTATTATGACCGTAACAATACAGGATTTTATTTGCATCAAATGCAATCCTAATGGAAGTCAACATGGATTTTTATCGTTTTAAACACTAGATTGTTACGATCATATTATATTTAATCTATTTTGTATTTCTTGAGTAGTTAATCGGAAACGAGGTTGTTCTTTTTCTTCACTTGTGCAGCATCCGTATTGATGCGTTGTTGAGACCACTATTTATGTGGCGCGCCCTCTATCCGTGTTGATGGTAGCACACCAGTAAATTAACTTCCATAGAACCCAAAAGTAAATGCTCCCACTTCAAAAATTCGGGGAAAATACTCACAATTCTCCAAGGTTTTCGAAACACACATCAAATTAAAACTTATTTCATCATCTTTCATTTTCTGTTCAATTTTTGGGCGGTCAACTGATGACTTTTAGGAGAAATTTCCATCTGAAGATGATCACCCCTGAAAATAGTCCTGAAGCCCATCGCCATTTTGAAAAACAATGCCTACACTCCATTGCAAAATAGCGCGCTTTTAGGGTCCAAATTACATCCAAATTACACAGAACTGCAAGCTCCCAGTCCTGTGCACGGCTTCCACCCAAATTGTTTACGAACACTCAAGTTCATGGCCCACAGCATGCTCAAATATCGAAGATTTTGAGGACATGCAAATCGTGATTTGGCCGGCGCAGGCAATTTCGGACCGATTTACTGGTCTGCACCCAGAGGTTTTTAGCACTCTGTTTAAGACCGCTTAGAATCTGGGTGCTGATAATTACCCGAGCCGGAGGCGAGGGTAATTATCAGCACCCAGACTCTAAGTGGTCTTAAACAGAGTGATAAATACCGACCGAGCACATATTTATTCCCATTCATAAAAACCTTTTCAGTAAAAAAATATCAAATAATTCGTTCAAAAAATCCCGATTTTGTTCAACAAGTTCACTTCATGCTTTTTTAAACATCCCTCTAGCAAAATAATGGAGTGTTCAGCTGGTGAGTAAGATGTAAACAACCCTTTTATGGAGATTGACGCGCGCGTAGCATGTTCTGCGCGATGTTGCGCAGAACGCACCTGGGGCGTTGCGTTTTGAATTTAGAACTCTGAAATACTGACTCCCTGGTAGTGTTGCGCATGCCTACGTGAGGATTGTGAACGTTCAACCAATAAAACGGTAAGAGGCACTGGATTTTTAGGAGTCCACATTTTATTTGACACTGAAAAAGTGTTTAAGACCAGCTAGCCTAGTCTGGTTCCCAGACCAAAAGATTCCGACTTTTCCTGATGAATCCGGTGTCACATGAAAATCCGACTCCTATGAAAATCGGACCCCTTTTCCCTTTTATTAATCCCTCTCACGTGACCGGTCATTTTCCTAATTATCGTACTTACGCATGCGCAGTATTACCAATGAGTCCGATTTTCATAGAAACCTACATTCACGCTACACCGGTAGCCTCCGGTAATACAATGTATTACAATTTACGTCACGTGACTAAAACGGGAGGAATTCCTCCTTTTTCCGAAAATTTCCGAAGTTTACCGAAGTCGTTTCGTCGACAATCGGATAGCGCCCGAGTATTTCTGAGCATATAAAATAGGTTTAATTAACTGCTAATTGCTTATTAATTTTATTTTAAATGAGTTGATGATTAATATTCATTGTTTTCATTTTAGAAAACTTGAAATTCAACGACGATTTTGTGCATCAAATATACTCGGATCGTACGGGCGAACTTTTTGCTCCGTCATGTACAATTTTGAATTTGACGACCGTTACCGAGATTTTCCAAAACTCGGTCTTCATTCGGCTCCGCCTGCTAACAGTGCTATTTGGTTCCTAATTTTGAAGATTCCAGATCAACATTACTCAATGTTATCTTACAAAAACATCAAACTGTATTGTCATAACTGTATGATATTACGAAGCAAGTGATTTATTTAAAGATTTGATCAGAACATTAAAAGCTAAAAGTGATAAAGCGAAATCGGAAACGAAGCCGCGCTTTGAAAAAGGGCCATTAATGTCGTCATGTTTATTTTTAGCCACGGAGGCTGGCTGACCTACAATTTAAGACGTGAGCGTCGGGAATAATTGTCAGGTCTGGGAACCAGACTACAGCTAGCCATGTCTTTATCATCCGTTTAAGACCCTGCCACGTGACGGGCTCTCGACCAATAGGAATAGCTAAACTGTCTGAGGTATTTATGAATGCCCTTTCTATAGAGGGCAAGCTTCATAAATAGTGGTGGTACTTATAAGTTATAGCCTCTGACAAGGCATCATGAAGGCGTTGACTTTTGAACAAAAAAATACACTCATGTACAACCTGTATTTAATTGTAATTTCTTCCAGTGATTTGTCATGATGATCACATTGGGATCTTATTTTTAATTTATAACAATGCATTACGTTGTGCGTTTTGTGAATGAGCAGTTCTCTGCTCCAAACAGACACATTTTCAACGGGCCCCGCACTAGTTATCACAAATTTTAAATTATTCATCAGAGCAGATTGGTATCCTCGATCCTCCCTCTGCGCAGATAAGGCTTTGCAACCAAGTAGCTTTAAAAAAAAAAAGCAAAGCAACCACTCTTTTCCTCAGCAAAACTTATATTGTTGGCTTACGATCATCCACCGTGCCGAATAACACAGAAAAAGCTCTTTATTTGTGGCAGCAGTTTTGGCGTTGTACAAAACAATCTTGCCTTATTCTGCGCAGGGGACGCTTCGTGCTGTCCGGGCCATGTAACTCAATAAAAACTGTTTTTTAATAACTAAGACTTATTGGCTTGAGGAAATTACATTTTCTGAGCTTTTCGAGCAAAAGTTCTTTCTTTTTCCTTTCTGTTTTTCTTTGCCAATACACTTTTCGTTACTAGTTTCAAGATTATTTTGAATGTCCTTTTTTCGAGATTGAAACAAGGGCTTAAATTTACATATTTATATAAATGTATTTTATACATATTTATCTACTAAATGAAGATCCCAATGATATTATTATTCTTATCATCCCATGCAGAGACAGTTTTTAAGATGTCGGATTTTAAAACATTATGAACCAAAAAAATCCCAAAAAATATAAGAATTGTGTTTTTTAGTTGCACCGTAAGTTTTACACACTCGTAGAAACTGCAAATTTTTATCTTTGACATCTTAACTATAATACTGACAATATTGGGAGACCAAGAAAGGTCACCTTTTGGTCATATTTTCGACTTCTGCAGGCCCGGAAGCATCTGCCTGCATTTGTACTTTTATTAGCTGTAAAAAGCCGGTGTTTTTCATATTGCGCCTGAATTCCCGGTAAAGCCTTCAATTTCCATTTTTTTTCGGCTGCTGTTTAAAGTTCGTGCATCAAAGCATTTTTTACGATGCATGCCTTGCAAAATATAACTAGAAAGGCGAGTGCGGAGAAATAGGAGCGCGTTGCTTTAGGAGGTCGGACGATATTGACAATTTTATTTCATTTCTTTAGTTCTACAAAATGAGGCCAACTCGTGAATGAAGCCTAGTCTCGGTGACATGCGCAGCATTTTGCCAACGGTGCAGTTTTGGAAGCAACACATAGAAAAAATGACATATCTATTCAATGAGGAATAAAAAAAAATGGTTTTATCAGATGAAAGTTTACCCATAGAGCTATATTATTTACCACGAACACGGCGCATGCTGTTATGAAAGGGCGCCCTCTCTATTGAGCAATGTTTCATCATCCATGTGGTTCTTTTGACTTTTGCAGTTTTGGTGTTCCCGGTCCCTGCGCTGCCTGCTGCAGTTTTCAGCATTTTTCCGTCGGCATTTTCCGGACGTGCCAAGTTAGTGCTAGGCGGACGACAAACGAGTTCTAACCATGCCTACGATCGCGGTACCTAGAGACTTACTCTTTGAAGCACTCGGGAGAACGTACAGTGAGTTTTGGATTGGTATTTTTTCTTGATCAACTTGTTTATGATGTTCCATGCATAGTGCCCAGATTCCGGACAAACAGCAATGCCAATCATAATACGATATAGCCCAGGTGGACTCCCTTTACTCCCTACGTTACGGAGGGAGTCCAGGGTATGAAGTGCTCAAAACCGGGCGAAAAAAATTATGACCAATATTTTCAATATGTTTACCTTGTTGGAGAAGCCAATTTTTACGTAGCAGTATTCTGTGTGTCCTTATCTATTGGGCCGGGGGTACTCCTAGAACTATGAGGCTCCGCGTGAGCGGAGCCTCATAGATCAAGAAGCCCGCAAAATTGCCTGCAGCACAAAACACTAATAAAGTACAAAAACGTCCATCAAAATGCAGCCATTTCACACAGAACCGCTGCACAGTTTGCCCCTTTACTCCGTACTTTATCTCTTGACATACTCACGTATCTTGTGCGGAACTAACATAGGTGGATTCTGTCGGTTTTTAGGCCAAAATGATGAAAAATATGCCCTTTCCGCATTGAGCCAACCTGACACTTGAAACGTGCACGCATTATGATCGAGCGATGATTTTCGGTTCGCTCGGAGCGCGCCGCGGGGGGTACGGTACATGCACTTGTACGCATGCACATCATTTCGCTTGTACCGTACCCCCCGCGGCGCGCTCCGAGCGAACCGAAACTCATCGCTCGATCATATGCGTGCACGTTTCAAGTGTCAGGTTGGCTCAGTGCGGAAAGGGCATATTTTTCATCATTTTGGCCTAAAAACCAACAGAATCCACCTATGTTAGTTCCGCACAAGATACGTGAGTATGTCAAGAGATAAAGTACGGAGTATAGGGGCAAACTGTGCAGCAGTTCTGTGTGAAATGGCTGCATTTTGATGGACGTTTTTGTACTTTATTAGTGTTTTGTGCTGCAGGCAATTTTGCGGGCTTCTTGATCTATGAGGCTCCGCTCACGCGGAGCCTCATAGTTCTAGGAGTAGCCGGGGGTTCAGGAATTCCATATGCGATGCTGACCGACCTTAATCAGGAAAATAAACTCGAAAGCAACGTTAAACTTGTACATTGTTGTAGACTCTTTTCATTGCTAGTTTAGTCGTACAGGACGTACGTCCGTGCAGCGTGAACGCGCAGTGTGCACGCGCGATTTGCTTAGTAACCACCCTCAAACACATGCGCACTAACTTGTATTTGTAAGCGCAGTCGCCTATCCAAAGATCGGGCGTGTTTTAGCGACCGTGACCAGAAACATATCTCGGCTTTGATCATTGGTGGAGTGTTTTCATGACTTCGGTTGGCTGGAGTGACTATCGGCAAGACAAAGCCAGTCTTGGGCCAAGACTAGCGAGCATATATGCGATGCGTAAGAAAATCGCATCTTCTACTGTAAGAAACTGTTCAAAATTACTAAAAAAATATGTCATTTGAAGAATTATTTAGAGAAGTCTGCTTTATGTTGACGAAAGTCATTTTGGAATGATAAAAAACACCCTCGAGTCTAATTTGATCAAAAGTAAAGAGTGGCCATACACTACACTCACGCCAACATTATGCCTACCACGCTACCAAGTTGTGGAGCCTTGCATGCTCTAATGACATTACAAGACTAACAAATGATATTTTTGCCTTTTACAGCTGATGAAGAATTTGAAGAATTATGCTTCGAGTATGGTCTGGAGCTGGATGAAATTGTAAGAATTTGTTTGCAGTGGACATTTTGCCGGTCACAGCAAAGATGTGATGTACTTACCGGCAATTTCTTCACAACCAATAAAAAAATTACTGGAATGGTATCAACCAATCAGAGAAGACTTACGGCATAACATCGCTCCTTTGCATTTTGCCTTGACCGGCAAATGTCCATTGCTTTATTTTTGTCATTTGTCACTGTCTCATTTTCCCTTTGATTTTATTCTTTGAATTCTTTTTGGTACTTTTCATCACTGAAGAAAAACATGAATTGTTGTTCATTCATTCATTACGGTTTATTACACAAAAATATCGAACAGCATGTCAAAAGACTAACAATGTCTGATTAACAAGTTAAAAACAAATTTATACGAGAGTAAAACAGTAATGACAAAATAAAACAGAAAAAGTTGGCTTACAAACAAATTGTTACTACACTATTGCATTAAAAATACAATTACCAACAGTCATTTTGGACTTTTCATTATTTTTGTATATCTCTGCACATAGGCTTGCATTTTATCGTAATACCTTTTTACCAGAGAAAACAGACTGACCTTGGACTTGTTTTTTTTGCTTCTTGTAGACATCCGAGAAAGCTATGATTAGCAAAGAGCAAGGAGCTGAGAAAGCGGAAGGAGCATCGGATGTAGTCATCTACAAGGTGGACATACCGGCCAACAGGTCTGTGAATTACTACTTACTCTAGCCGTCTGGGCATATTTAGTTTTATACAGGATTAATTTTAAAATCGCTGTATTAAAGCAGCTATCCAAAAAGTGACTGGAGTAATTATTGTTGAAAAACATACGTGGTTGAAAGATAGTAAGGGGACTTACTCTCTGGAAAGCTGTCATTTTGAAGAAATCAACGAAAGAAGGCCTTTCCAACGATGCGTCTTAAGAAGCACCGTAAATTGTAAATTTACTGTAAATTGTAAATCATTATTATTATACGTGTAATAGTACCATTAAGGAGACACGTCATCGTTATTTCTTCGCACGATGGGAGACATCGGTCATTAGGGAGACATTTTCATGTCTGCCTAATGTCAGAGGCAAAATTTTAATGTCACAATTAGATTATATTTGTTGCTCGTAGTCTAATTTGTTAACATACCAAAATTCATGGAAAAAGGACAAGGGAATATTGGGTTAGGGCACATTTTAAGTTTGAAAAAATTGTGCACAAGTCTATGGGGATGTCTCCCAAATGTCCAATCCAGGGTAATAATAATTATTATTATTATTATTAGCCGGATCTTAATTACCTGGTTATGGCTTACAATTAAACGTGTGCCTATGGAAGTAGCCGCAGCCGCTGTGATACTGGCAGCCATTATTTGGATGCTTCTGGTACCCTACATGCACCTTCAACCCTAACCCTGCGGGGTATTTTAGCTAGACACCCTGCTGAACGCAGCAATATGCCACACTCTTCAAAATGGCAAGCCTGCTCAGTGTACAAGCATGCAACTTTTCCTCGGATCCGCTGTTTTCCTCGTTTTTTACTTCTCATGAATGCCATTACAAATTGAAAAATACTGCACAAAGTCTTGTGTGGTTTGGAGTTTCCTCCTTTTTGTCTGAATTTCCAGTTGCATGCCTGAGTGTAGCAAGATCCATCGGGTCACAAATCTCAATGCCAAACAGCCTCAGAATCTTTGATCACTGATGCAGCAGGATACAACTGTGGCATTGTTCAGTGGGACGAGCTCTCATTGTTTGAGAATTGGCCGTTTATGCACTTGTGTTGATGGCTCAATGCAGCATGGTCTCACAGACTTTCCCACCTGAAGCACTGAGTTGCGTCTGGCAGGGTTAGGGTATAATCTTTCACTTGAGGAAACCAATAGTACTTATTTGTACTTTCAAGGGAAGTCAAGCCCCATGTGAAGCAATAGTGACTACCTAGGTGGATTTGGCAAGATTAGGGTTAATCTAGGTTATTTGTCTTCAATCCACAGGTATGATCTGTTGTGTCTTGAAGGCCTGGCCCGTGCCCTAATGGTCTTCCTACAGAAGATTGAACATCCGCGCTACGTCGCTACGCCTCCGGCTGATGGAAACATGCAACGCCTTATCATCAAACCTGATGTAAGTTGTAACCATAGGTGTTGATCACTTTTGATCAAACTGATTGCCGTCAATGCAGTTGGCGGCGAGTTGACGACAGTTGACTGCAGTTCACTGCAGATGACAGTGTATTAACTGCAGTTGACAGCAGTTGATGGCAGATGACGGCAGTTGACTGCAGTTGACAACAGTTGGCAGCAATTGAAGCCAGTTCATGCCAGTTAACGTCAGTGGACTGCAGTTGACAGAAGTTGACAGCATTTGGCAGCAGTTGACTGCAGTTTACTGCAGATGACAGTGTGTCGACTGCAGTTGACAGCATTTGACGGCAGCTGACACTGCAGTTGACTGCAGTTGACGGCAGATGACGGCAGTTGACAGCAGTTGACAGCAGTTGACAGCAGTTGATGCCAGTTAATGCCAGGGGACTGCAGTTGACTGAAGTTGACAGCAATTAACAGCAGATGACAGCAGTCGACTACAGCTGACAGCAGTTGACAGCAATTGATGCCAGTTAATGCCAGTTAACGCCAGTTGACTGCAGTTGACAGAAGTTCGCAACAATTGGCAGCAGTTGACTGTAGTTGACGGCAGTTAACTTTAGTTGACAGCAGTTGGCAGCAATTAATGTCAGTTTCGCCACTTGACTGCAGTTGACAGAAGTTCGCAACAATTGGCAGCAGTTGACTGTAGTTGATGGCTGTTGACTGCAGTTGACTGTAGTTGACAGCAGATGACGGCAGTCGACTGCAGTTGATGCTAGTTATTGCCAGTTGACTGCAGTTGACAAAAGTTGTCAGCAATCGATAGTAGTTGATGGCAGTTGACAGCAGTTGACGGCAGTTGACTGTAGTTGACAGACGAAGACGGCAGTTGACTGCAGTTGACAGCAGGTGACTGCAGTGGACAGCAATTGACGGCAGTTAACTGCAGGTGATGCCAGTTGATAGCAGTTAACAGCAATTAATATCTGTTTCATCTTGCCATGCACTCATATTACAATGTCTTACATATTAGTTCTAGATGAATCGATAAATCCTTACAGTACTGGGACAGTGTTTAACAGTACAAGGTTTAATGCTTTAACCTATAAACGATAAAAGCGTAATGCCCAATAGCAAAGGGCTTACCTGGATAATTTGTTTACCCTTTTGTTTTTAAATTTTCATGTTTCAGACAGCGCGAGTTAGACCGTTTGCGGTGGCAGCCATCTTGAAGGATATAACCTTCACCCCAGAGAGCTACAAGAGTTTCATTGACCTACAGGACAAACTGCACCACAACATAGGCCGGTGAGTAGGTTTGTGACGTTAAACGTTTAAAGCTTCAGTCCGTCATTTGTGGCTATCCAAAAAGTGACTGACGTAATTATTGTTGAAAAGCATACTTGGTTTTAAAATAGTAATGGGACAAAACTCCCTGTGAAATTATTCTTTCTGGCAAGCTGCCATTTTGAAGAAATCAATGAAAGAAGGCCATTTCCAACAATGCGTATAAAGACACATTCTTGGAAAGTTCCGATAGGAGTTCATTTCGGCGAAGCGCGCACAAGCATTGACAAGACGTACAGGCGTGTGCGGTTGCTTTAATTTGTCGGTTCAGTGTGGCTGTGCGACATCGCGTAGCTGCAATCGGCACAGTGAGAACGTGTCTCTGACACTGAATTCAGGCCCAATTCTAAACATGACTCAGCAACTTTTGATTTGAAATCGAGATCCTAGAATATTGTTTTCTCGGAATATACAGCATTCACTAAGCTAAAACGTTATCATTCTTTATCAGATTCTTCTTTGGATTCGGGTGGTGTTATTATTGAAAACGAACCAAATGCATGAAAAGTACTTGATCCTATATGCCTTTAGGGTTTGTTCTTTGGTGTCATTTTTATTACTGCTATTCCTTCAGACGACGAGCTCTGGTTTCCATGGGAACTCACGACTTGGACACCATCCAAGGTCCGTTCTACTTTGATGCTCAGCTGCCGGAGGACATCAAGTTCAAACCCCTGAACCAGGTCGGTCTGACAATAATGGAATGGTCCATCTTGAGAATGCAGAATTGTGCTCACTTATTCCTCGTTTTGATAAAGCAGATAACAAATTTGCTATCAGAATTGTGCTGACTTATGCCTCATTTTGATAAAGCATGTTATAAATTCATTGTCAGAATTGGGCTCAATTATGCCTCATTTTGATGAAGTAGATAACAAATTTACTTTCAGAATTGTGATGGCTTAAGCCTCATTTTGATAAAGCATATTGCATATTGTCAGAATTGTGCTGACTTATGCCTCATTTTGATGCGGCAGCCAACAAATTCGCTGTCAGAACTGTGCTGACTTATTCCTCATTTTGATAAAGCAGGTAACAAATACGCTGTCAAAATTGTGCTGACTTATGCCTCAGTTCGATAAAGCAGGTAAGAAATTCGCTGTCAGAATTGTGCTGACGTATTTCATGAAGTTTCCATTAACTTCATTTCATTTCTGAAAATTTGAATAGGAATAAGTGATTGCATATTCGGATGTCCTGATATTTGACACAACCTTAACTCCCGTAATTTTATTTTTAACCAGACTAAAGAATACACTGCTGTTGAGCAGATGGAACTGTTCTCTACAGTGGGTCACCTCCGCCACTATCTGCCCATCATACGTGACAAACCTGTCTATCCTCTTATACATGACAGCAACAACGTAGTGCTGTCGATGCCTCCTATCATTAACGGTGAGTCGTTCGTAACTGACATATTTTTTCCTGACCCCTCTTAACCATTCTTCAGTGTTAAGAGTCGAGACGCAAGTTTGATCGCAACTTCCATTGTTGCCTCTGCCAAGGAGGCTATGTTTTCATAGGCATTGGTTAGTTTGTTGGTTGGTTGGTTTGTCTGTTAACAAGATAACTCACATATGTTTGGGGTGGTCCTTGGTACAAGTACAGATCGTTAAGATTGTGAAAGTGATCCGGATCTAGGTCTTGATCTAACTCTGGCACCCTGTGTGTTTGACCCATAGAGCTATATTAAATTACTAGAGCGCTAACTTCGTGTACAAAGTAATGCCTGCTGGGCGCATCCATGTTTGTGCACAAACCTATGGAGACCTAGAAATTGTGTACGGCTTTTGTACGGCTATTTGCATATCTGCGTTTGTATTCCATACCGGTGCGTTATCGAAGCCAATACGCCCAAAACTGAAACGTACGATCAGCAAATGAGCGTGTCATTTTGCTCTACGCAAACAGGGCAACGCATGCGCGTATTTGCTGCAGATGCTTTTTGCTGTCACGTTTTTTTAACCGGCAATGACGCGCTTAAGTTGTTTGCGTGTGTTCTACTTGCGCGTTGCATGTAGAGTACACTTTCAAAATTCAATCCATCTAATTTCATTGTGTTCTACAGACACGCACATGAATTCAAAATGTCTGCGCCCAGGACGGCTTCAAAGCATCTCCGCGCGCAGAATGATGAGTTAGCGCTCTAGTAATTTAATATAGCTCTGCGGTTAAACCTGTGAATGTGGCTATATGGGCTCCATGCACCAACAAAAGAGGGCGCATTTTTACCACTTTTGAGAGTTCCAGGGACCAGTCGTGATGTGAAACCGTGATTTGAAAAAGTGTTGGCAAAACGCTTGTTGACAGTGCGTGTAACCGCGCGATGCACTGCGTTTAGTACAGTACATACATTTATGTACAGAACATAACATGAGAAAAGGCTATTTTACTCACATATGTGTGAAAAGTTGTGCACATCATTGTTTTTTAATCTACCTATTTCAGACTAAGTTACAATCATAAAACAGATTTTTTTCACAATTCAAAAATAACTTCATGGAATCCCTATATCCCTAATACCTATACCAAGAGGTGAATTTGCCCATAGTTTTGATTTTATTAGGGCACCGCGCAGATCATGTGTATTTATATATTGGTCTGAAATGCCAGTCTGATCTACACGTAAATTACGTGTAGCTGTGCACTGTTTCTCTTACAGGCGAGCACTCCAAAATCACTCTGGACACGAAAAACATGTTTGTGGAAATAACGGGGACGGATCGGAACAAGATCGAGATCTCGCTGGACATTCTGGTCAGCACCTTCAGTCAGTACTGCTCCAAGCCTTTCCAGTAAGTTCAGCCACTTCACAAAAACTGCAATCAAACAGAAAATATTGCTTAAGAAAAATCTTACATGCTTAGCATTTAACAAGCCAAGAAAAGCTTACTTGCAGCTTACACCTGGTGATCATATCAGTTGGTTACCTGATTTTTTTCTTATAAACAAATAATTTGTAAGCTTACCAAATTTCTGTGCTGAATTGAAATCTGCCCCATGCCAGTGCAAAGATGAATAGATTGGTTTTTTTTCGTTTTCAACAAATATGATACTTAATTTTTCCAATTTCCTTATTTTTCTCAATTCACTCACTCGCCACATTTCTATCAAACTTGAAGTTTTTTATTTCAAAAATCAAACGATCAAACTTATCAAATTTGAAGTCCAGAGAACTATTTACAAGAAATTTGAGTAATTATTTGTATCGCTATTAAAAAAAATATCACTGAATATCTCACTTCTTTGATTTTTAAAATGTTGTCTCTGTTTTTGCCCCCTTTTTTCTTTGTAGCCCTTACATGTAAAACCGGACTTGGGCTAACATTAATATCTTGCGAATTTCATTAAAAAAATCAATGATCAATGAATTACACATAAGGGTGTGCATTTACGGGTAGTACAGGAACCGGGTACCCTATGGCAAAAAATACGGGTACCCGGGTACCCGTTAAAGAAATCCAAGCCAAAAATTCAAATCTGGGAAGTTGCTGTTCAGATTGTTCATAAAGGTCCGCACGATAATACTGACACCTCGGTGCGGCAATACGGCTAGATAGGGTGTATACAGTGAGCTCTTTAGCTATGTGGTGAAAACTGTAACTTTCGCAAGCATCATAAAACGTGAAATTGGTTTTGGTTTTCCATGTATCGTGTTTTTCATTTTGAAATTTTCCCATTGACATTCAAAACATTTCTTTTACATTGACTGAGAAGTTATTAAGTAATTAGCGAAGTTGGTTACGAGTACTCGATTCCATAATCTGGAACCGGTTCCATATAAGGTTCAAGTAAGGTTCAAGAACCATAACCAGTTCAAGTAAGGTTCCAGATTATGGAACCGGTTCCATAAATTGGAACCGGCCATTAATGGAACCGGTTCCATAAATTGGAACCGGCCGTTAATGGAACCGGTTCCATTAGCGGTCGGTACTTGGGCACCCGGTTCCGTTGCATGGCCCTAATTTACACATGTGCCTGTTTTCTTTTATCAGAATCGAAAGTGTTGAAGTGACTTACCCAGATGGCTCCAAAACTATCACGCCCACGTTACGGTACCGCCATGAGCAACTGCCGGTGAAGCTGATCAACAGCAGGATAGGCATCAAGTAAGTCATCACAAAATCACTGGGGAAAAAAATGAGCATGGTAGGATTCAAATCTACGACCTTTGAAATTCCAAACTGGTGCTCTGAGCTATGCAGCCCTAGTTGCTGGAGCTTCAGCAAAAACTACAAATTGCATGAAAGATGATCGCACATCAATTGTTCAGTCCCGCGACCATCATGCAACTGACTATAAACTGGCATTAACCCTCAGTTGTTTGATCAGTCACAGACAGTCAAAAATTCAATCCTGTTCCCTTGCCATGCCTTTACACAGCCTAATCACCAACAGTCAGATCATATTTCCGGTAGGCACTGTGACAGTCAAATTCCATCATCAGACAAAAGCAGGTGACTGGTGGGCGCAGCTGGCTAATCAATCTCCTACAGTCAAAGCATAGCTACATCAGGTTTTATAACAATTTAGCAAGTCAATCCTGCTTTATGAAGGCAGGGAGCACTCAACTGTTACAAACAGTCACTTGAATGATTTTGACTGCTGGGCTGGCCTTGATGAAATTGCCAGCCAGAGAGGGAGGGTTAATTCTCAAAAACTTCAAATTCACTGGTGACATGAGTGGCCCTTTTTCATGTTTATTCATAATCTACTTCTTCCTCTAGTGAGGATGCCGAGGCGTTAGCCAAGCTTCTGACCAGAATGTGTCTGAGCAGCGAAGTCGTCGAAGACAAGAAACAACTCCGAGTAGAGGTCCCCCCAACCAGAGCTGATATCCTTACAAACATTTTTAAATTTCACATTTTGAATTATTTATCGGACAGTTCTTGTTAACCCTAACCCCTAAACCCTGATGCCAAGGACCTTGAATTGCCCTTAACCTACCTCCTCACATGTCATCCATGCCTGCGACGTGATCGAGGACGTGGCCGTGGCGTACGGCTACAACAACCTAGTTGAACGCATTCCACAAACCAACACCATCGGAGAGCAGCTCCCCATCAACAAACTGACGGACCTGCTCAGGCACGAGATGGCTGCTTCGGGATTCACTGAAGTCCTGACCTTTGCTCTGGTAAGTTGAACCAAAAAAAGAAAATTTTGAAGTTGAACAAAGTGGGGTTGGAACCTGCACCCTGCAGATTGCCGTTCTGGCGCCCTACCAACTGAGCTATCCAGCCCTATGTTGGCAGTTCCCCAGTTTGTTAGTTTATTTGTTAAAAGTGCTGTGGCCTCGTGGTTAAGGGCACTGGATTCGTGGTCTGTGGGTAAAATTGCAGGTTGTGGGTTCGAGTCCAGCCCGGGGTCATGGTGTGTGTGCCCTTGGGCAAGGCACTTTATCACTCATTGCTTTTCTCCACCCAGGAGTAAATGGGTACCTGTGATTGCAAAGATGGTTATTGTGATTGAGTTAGCTTCCTTGCACCTAAAAGGCTGCATCGAGCTGTATACTCCCCAGGGAGCTGAGATAGTATTTTGAATGCCCAATGATTAGGGGTAATAATAACGTAAAGCGCTTTGATCTTAGTTAAAAGCGCTATATAAGAACATTATTACATTTGTAAATCCTTAACAAGCTATAAATCCTTTAATACCATGTAGCATATACTGGTCACAATGGTCTAGCAACATTAGGAAGTCACTCCTTGGTGTGACTCCTGGTTTGACCTTGACTTTTTTCTTCACTAGCCAGCTGGGCTACTGAAACAGACTCTTAACTAGCCCGCGGGCATTTTCACTGTGCCGCATGTTCGTCTTTTATAGAGTGTTTCATATACAACAATGTGTATACAAGTAAACATGTATCCTGATGCAATCTTGTCAGTGTTTTTAAGAAACAGATTTAATAATTTAACCCTAAATGGTTAATAAAATTAGACACAAATTGATACAGGTTTGCTTTCTGAATTTCGTGATTTATTTCTTCCTGTCTTTTTATCTTTGCCGTAGCCCAATAATTTTTGACTCACCAGCCAGGCTACTTAAGGAATAGTTTGACTAGCCCGCCGCTGTTTTGACTGGCATTTGGCTAGCGGGCTACCGCTAAAGTCGAACCCTGGTGACTTAATATTAATGGTGGATTGAAGTTGAACTATGAATCCCCAACAGGGAATCAGTCTAAGTTGTGTCTTGCATTTTCCTTTTCCCCCCCTTTTCTATTTAGTGCTCTAGAGAAGATATCTCTGAAAAAATGAGGAAGGATATGTCTACGACGAATGCTGTCATCATCTCCAACCCCAAGACCCTAGATTTTCAGGTAAGCATTGGTTATCGTGATTCTAAGACACTGGATGCCAAGGTCAGGGGTAATCCCTTTCCCAAACCCCTAGATTCCCAGGACATCTCTTTACGTAAGACCCTGGATTCCAGGTAAGCATTGGTTATTGCGATTCTGATACCCTGGATACCAAGGTCCCAGATAATCCCTTTCCCAAATCCCTAGATTCCCAGGACAGCTCTTTCGTAAGACCCTGGATTTTTAGGTCAGCACTTTTCTCATTTACAATGTCCCTGGATTCTTAGGTCACCTGCTTTCCCAAACACTTACAACCTTGATTTCAAAGTCGATTCTATCAGCACTAAGACCCTTGATTTCCAGGTCAGTACTTTTATTATTATTATTTTTATTAATCATTTCTGGTAATGAAACCAAGGATTCCTCAAAAGCGCCCTAGGCACTGTAGCTCGCAAGCCTGAAGAAACCTGTGGAGAGAAGACAATGAGAAGAAGTTACAGTTTTAGAGGTGGGAGGAAAAGCCCAGAAGAATATTCTGGGGAAAACCCACGGTATCAGGCAGGGACTGAAAACCCAATCCACATATTGGCCCAGGCAGGATTCGAACCCGGGTCACAGTGGTGGAAGGCGAGGAAAGTACCGCTATGCCAACCTGACTCCCTATCCCAAGTCCCTGGATTTTTAGGTCAGTCACATTCTCCAGCACTAACGATCTCAGTGTAACATCAGCAACCCCGCTAGTACTGACCTGGAAATCTGGGGTATCCTAACCCCCAGATTTCCAGGGCAGCACTTCTCCTTACGCCCCAGACCCACAATTTTTTCAACTTGTATTGAATTGAATCCGTTATGGTTTGGAAGAACTGGGCTTTATAGTTAACCCTCCTGCTATTTAAACAGACACAGACAGTCTAAATTTCCATCCACTTCCTCTGCTGTACTTTTAACACAGGCTAGTCACCAGCCGTCAGATCATATGTTAAGCAAGCACTGTGACTAGTCAAACTCAGTCAACAGACCATGAACAGACAAAGCAGGCAAGTTGTGGTCACAGCTGGCTCATCAGTCACCCGGAGTTAAAGAGATAGTCCATCATTTGTAATTTGTGCATTTTGTTCGTTTGAAGCAACCAAAGGGCTTAAGATCTAAAGAAGGGTGCTGAACAATTACTAACCTGATGAAGTTTCAGCTCAGCTTCAGCTGTATATTCCGAGAAAAACAGCATTCTAGGATCTCAATTTCAAATCAAAAGTTACTGAATCATGTTTTGAATTGTTTTGAATTGCAGCTATACGCGACGTCGCGCACTGATCCGACGAATTAAAGCAACCGCGTGTGCGTCGTGCCAATGCTTGTGCGCTACGCCGAATAACAAAACGAACTACTAATTCAAATTTTCCTACGGTGCATCTTAAGACGCACCGTTGGAAAGGCCTTCTTTCGTTGATTACTTCAAAATGACAGCTTCCCAGAAAGAATAATTTCACAGGGAGTTTAGTTCCCTTACTATCTTTCAACCAAGTTTGTTTTTCAACAATAATTACGCCAGTTACTTTTCGGATGGCTGCACATGATGGACTATGGCTTTAAAAGCAAAGCTGTATCAAGTTACATAAACAGTCACAGCCAGTCAATCCTGCTTTGTGTAGACTGGGACTTTTGAACTGCTGTTAACTGTCACTTGATTGATTTTAACTGAAAGGACTTCTTGGCACAGACTGTATGTTTGCATAGGAGGGTTAATGATATAAGGCTTACAAACAAAAGTGCTAATCTCCAAATAACTTTAATTTTTCCTCTAGGTCGCACGCACATGTCTTCTGCCAGGAGTTCTGAAGACCATCAGCAACAACCGTAAGATGCCCTTGCCCATCAAGGCCTTTGAGATCTCAGACATCATCGTCCAGACTAAAGAAAAGGATGTAGGGGCTCAGAACCTGCGACATTTCTGCGCCGTGCACTACAACAAATTACCGGGCTTCGAGGTTTGTCTTGATAAGTTCTTCCGAGAACACTTTTCTATAAATATATTTTTATTTTCAGCATGTAATGTGGATTCCATGCAGGGACTTTTGATGGTGATTTGCCAACTTTTGTAGATAAAAAGAAATATTTTGCTTACAAAAAAATGCTAACAGGCAGGTATCATGCCCCGTACCGCACTCTAGCTTCACCCTTGATGACATATGACCTCAATAACAGGATCAAGTGACATCATTATTATTATTATTATTATTATTATTTATTTATTATTATTAATTTCTGGTAATGCAACCAAGGATTCCTCAAAAGTGCCTTAGTCACTGTAGCTCGCAAAGCCTGAAAAACCCGTAGAGAGAAGACAGTGAGAAGAAATTGCCGTTTTAGAGGTGGGAGGAAAATCCCAGAAGAATTTTCGGGGGGAAACCCACGGAATCAGCCAGGGTCTGAAAACCCATGCCAAGGCGGGATTCAAACTCGGGTCACAGTGGTGGAAGGCGAGGAAAGTACCGCTACGCCAACCTGACTCCCCTAAAGCTAAACGTTAACGCTTTAGTCACTTTAGTTCCGGAAACCGCCCGAGCACTCTATGGTTTTATTGATTCTTCAGTGAATAAACACATTGTAATACAATGTAGTACAGGTGTTAATTATGGGTAAAAGAGTTTTACATGAGATGTATCAAGTTGACGGCATGTCACCTGATGATGTCATGTGACTTTTGTCACCTGACTTGTAGAGTGACTGAACATGGCTCTTTATACTTTCAGGTCATCCATGGATTACTGGATCGCACAATGCAACTTCTTGAAATTCCCTTCTCTAAGGAAGATGGCTACCACTTGAAAGCAATTGAAGGTAGGAATTGATTTTGGGAAATTGCCCATGCACAGTGACTATAATCAGAAACAGGTCATTAGTTGAGCATTTTTACAAATTCTTCTGTGCTTAATTGATGTAGTTGTAGGAACCAAAAAAAAAGCCGGTCATTATCACGCAGTGAAGACCGGATCCTCACACTGTTATTCCCATTAATAAATACCTTTTTAACGAAATAAACAGTTAAAATGCTCCAATTTTGTGACTTTCTTTCGGCGATATTTCCAGACTTTTTTGTGTTCATGTTCATGGGCCATATTTTAACTTATGCGTGGTACCCTGTCTCTTCAATAAGCGTTGTTATATACACCACAGCCGGGCCTAGGCTGCGCTGGACAACGTCTTCATTGTGTACGCGTACAACGTCCAGGGTTTGGACTTCTGCTGCCGTAGCGAAACAAATTACAACAATGTTGTCATATTTTTACCTGATGGAGGAAGCTGAAATTTCGTTTACACATTCCTTGTGTCCAGAATTACAAAGATGCTTGGTTTAGGAAAGGTAAATATGTTGATGGGCGAAGTGTTTACAGAAAATAAATCGTAGATCTGTGCTTTCGTCGTAAACATCCTCAGTATACTGCACTGCATGCTGTACGATGTCGTTTCAAAACTTCCTTACGCGCGCGCACCCATAGCAACTGTGTTGCGTACGCGCGCGTCAGTCTCACGCGAAGGTGGTTGAGCGCATGTGCAGTGCTGTATTGTTACAAGCTGCCGTATGACTGTTGTAAATTTGGCCAATCATTGCCTTCCATGGGGCTGGATCAATGCTGGTTCAGGGGCCATTTTTTCGCTTGTTCTTTGAAGCCAGTCTTTATATCACCGTTGATACACCCCCACGTGATCGAGTCTCGACCAATCAGAAACCATCAACTCTCCAAGGTATTTATTAATGCAATATAACTATACATAATTATACCCAAAGTGCCGGTCAGACAAAAAGTGTAGAAAGACTATGGGATTTGGGATAGAACAAAAAGAAAAAGCAGAAAAAGAAAATCAGTGCAAAAACAAAGGCTTTCCCACATACTTTTCTTTTAGATTCTACCTACTTCCCTGGACGGTGTGCAGACGTGCTCTTGAAGGGCCGGAGTATCGGACGCATCGGGGTGCTGCATCCTGAAGTACTGACCAAGTTTGAATTGACCAATCCCTGCGCAGCGCTGGAAATCACTATAGAGCCCTTCCTATGAAGGTCGAAGCCATTCTAGACTTTACATTCTCTTAATTAAGGGTCGTTCTTATATATTGCTTAACGTATATGTATGGTTATCTGTGGCAGTGTGTATGGACTCACTTCAGTTGTGGTAGAGGGTGGTTTTGTAATTAGAAAGGTTTTGCATGCAAATGAATTCGCCTATGCATATGTTTAAATACCAATAACGGTTATTGGCTTAACTATTGTTACAGGGATAAAAACATACATGCGCCAACTTAGGTACCATATGCCCTTGGGTCTCAAAAATGTGTCAATGTCTTTGTTAGGAAGGCACTAAAATATAATTACAATATAAAAAATGAGGATGATACTTAATAATAATAATAATGGAGATTTGTAACGCGCCATGTCTGTAACATAGTGACACTCCTGGCGCAGCGTTATTACCCTGCTCATTGGGCTAATGAAACATTCCAAAGACCATCTCAGCTCCCTGGGGAGTATACAGCTCCATGCTGCCAGTTCGGCGCAAAGCAGCTAAATCAACCACACTAACCATCTCTGCCCTCACAGGTACCCAATGTTTTACTCCTGGGTGGAGAGAAGCAATGAGTGACAAAGTGCCTTGCCTAAGGGCACACGCACCATAGCCGCAGGCTGGACTCGAACCCACAAGTCCAGTTTTTTAAATGTATATTGGTCATGTACTGACAGTGTTGAAATAATCATGAAATCCATTAGACATTGATTTCTTACAAGCCATTTACTTTACGAGCGAAAAATTATTGAAAGTATCTAAGTGTTTTGGAGAGTGTATGAAAGCAAGGGTTAATTAAAAAGGCTAAAGCTGTAAAAACCAATATTTTGTTTTGGTATAAAATCTGGCCCCAGATTATCTCTATGAATTAATACCTGAATACCGCCCCTCACAAAATCTTCGCTCCAGCTCACAACATCATCTAATTCCACGTGCACTTCATAACAGATCTTATTGCCAATGGACATTTCATTATGCAGCACCAGAAGAATGGAATAAATTACCTCATCAAATAAATATCGGCCCATCCTTGGAAAATTTCTAATCACAACTTAAGACACACTTGTTTGATGTTTTCAGAAACGCATAGAGACATTGCTTGTGTAGGCCTACATTGCGCTATGTAAGAATTAAATGCATTTCTGTGAATTCAGGTTGGTTCTTTTAATCAAATAATGGTCACATTGTCAGGAACTTTAAAGTAATACATTAAAGGGACACGTTCATCCCACTCTGGCTCACATACATGTAAGAAGCGTTTGAATGTGTGAATTGGGCCTGTTTGAAGTGCATCTGCTACTTAATGCAGGTCAACATCTGTTGACACAGCAAAAATGTATGATGTTTTATTTAAAGGGAAGATACAACATTTGCAAACATCAAAAAACGAAATGATCAAATGTTCACGAAATACCTTACTGGATTGTTAGGGAATAACAGTCTGAAGCATCCTGTAAAATCGTGGCACCTGGTGTGCTGATATTTTCAAGAAAAATTGTATTTTTCCAACGCTGGTCGGCCGACCAGCGTTGGAAAAAAAACTGGCTTATTTAAAAAAAAAACTGCTCCTAATTTTTCATATTTAGTTATTCTGCATTTTCTTTGCAATTGATTACACACCTGTGAAGATAGAGGTACAAGCCTGCTAGACTGATTCTCTGACCTTACACTTCCCCAAAGTCTACAAATTGCTCTGTTTCATCTTAAGTGGGGTCAGTGGGTCAGGGAACCAGACTACAAGAACATGATTAGTTTTCTTGGTTTTTCCAGCATCTACAAGCCCAAAACGTGAAACAAGTCGGTTTAACAATATTGGCTATAACATCCTAATCCTCCAAATCCATTTATTTCTGAAAATTGCAGCAAAAGCAAATGTCATACATTCCCTTTAATACTTAAATAAAGAGCTTTTCAATTTGACAATAAATTTGATTAAGGTTTATTCCAAAACGGGCAAACCCACTACAGACAAAAAAACCCAGGAAAGTTTGGTTCTTGATGTGAAAACTGATTAGCAGGCGGATCTTCAATATTTGGTATTCTCGCAAAGACATGCTCCTTCAAATTTTTCCCAAAACGGATGAAGTATTTTTTAATTATCATCATTTCAAATTCTCACTTTAGTCAGTGTTTTAACACATTTTCCTGTGCACAGTCAGTGAAGAAGTACAACATTCTCTCCAGCCTGCATAGGTTAAAAAAATCAACAGTTTTCGAGAACTTGGCATCCCTGCCCTTTACGTACGCACTGCCAAAGCGGATGTGCGGCAGAATGATCTCGAGATCAATTATTATGTGTTAAGTAATGGACATTTGTACCAGACTTGCCTTGTCAATTTTTAGTGTCGACATATTAAAGCGGTATCTAGATATCAGTATGGTTCAGTTTGCCTCTTGTTCAAGTCTTTAACTTGTGCCTAAACATGTTAAATCATGTAAAATGCACAAAAATGAATAAATACTTAAGAAATGCTTACGAAAAAAATGTCTTGATTTGCGTTCACTTTGATTAATTTGGCTGATGGTTGTAGACTAGGTGTCAATTTAATTATTTTAAAATAGTAGTCAATGATATTTCTCCTTTTCATAATGATGTTGTTAGGATCGAAAAGTTAGGCAGTCAAATTTTGAAGTTGATATCGCTTTTAGGGTCGACTCGGGTAAAAGCGGGCGGGTTAGCCACGACAGCCAGGCTAATCGAACGCTCAACCGCGGGCCATCACGATCCTCACGTGACGCCCGTAGCCGCGGCCGTAGCCACTGACAACGTCCGTTTCGTACTGGGTCTTCGTTTGCGATTTACTGCTTTTTCAGTCAATTGCATTACTCAAAAAAGTTGGGCTGGAATAATAGCGTCTGAAGTCGCAATGAACTTAATAATATGTTACCTTTTAAACTTGAAATATAAAAGTTGACTTTTGGGTCCACTTGACATTTCCGCTGTCCGGTCGCCATATATTTCCGCTGTCCGGTCGCCATATTTCCCGTTTCTAGGGATGAACAACGCATGCGTATTTCCACCACTGACTCTGCTCCACAGCAGGGTGCACGCAAGTAAATAGGCCAAAATCCTTCCCCTGAGCTCATGAAAAAAAGTTATACACTCAAAGTCTTCTATATTAGAGAGTTTTGAGAGCCGTGGAATTGGGAAATTGAAGAAATATGGCAATATACCTCTGGCCCGGACTTGGGGCTTCCAATTCAGAGCATTTTGGATGCAATCGGGCCCGAAAGTGGCGCTATTTGGCCATGTTGTGGAGGGATCCGTTTTTTCAAGATGGTTACTTTCTACTTTTGGAAACATCACAGGGGTCGTTTTCTTTTAGTGAGTATTTCTCAAAAAGTCATCGGTCAACCCACCAAAAATCAAAAGAAAATGCAAGATGACACAGTGCTCATCATTTTTCTGTGCAACTAGAACTCAATGTGATAATTTTGAGTATTTTTAAAAGAATTTTGACGTATGGGCATTGTCTTGGGAATTGTTTTGATTTGGTGCACCCAGCAGGGTCCTGGTGCCAGAGCTATTGAGCTCATGTCCTGTATAACAAAGAGCCCCAATAATGACGTCAGAGCTAATCGAACGGCACGGGGCTGACCCGTGTCGACCCGTGTGAGCTAAACGAACGCAGATGTAGGCGTACATGGAAAAAAAAGAATTACTGAAGAGAGATATAGGCCCCCTATATGTAGTTTACCTCGAAAATGATGGTGTCTTTCTGTTTACGTGCATTGTCTTTATAAAAGATGTATAACTATCGGTAGGAGAATCTGAACCCCCCCCCCCCAAAAAGAAGAAGAATTAAGGAGGTCTTCTCTATCAAAATATGAACAGAAGAACCAGTCTACTGTTTTCCTGCCCAAAAAGTTAAACAATACCCTGGGTATGATCTAACGGTAGCCTTGAAGTGACATTACAATCTCAAGAAAAGAAAAAAAATCCTGTGTGATATCGCGAATGCAAATTTATTTGCTATGAAAAAGACATCCCCATTGTGAGAGAAGTTTACTCTCTGACAAATTGAAAACCAACCACTAAACAAGCGTCATATATAGCGATGTAGGAATTGTGAATTCTGGGGTGACTCCGAGCTCATATGCCAACGATGTCCACACCGGGCCGCCGTACGTTTAAAATTCATGCATTTCCTGCCAACGTGTTGAAAAGTTATCAAAGGTCTTGACGAGAATAAAATGCAGCATTGAAATTCCAGACCAGTTTTTTTTGACAGTCTTTCACGCCGCGCGGCCCTGAAAACCTTCGAATTGAAAAAAACATGTATAGCCTACGTAGGCCATCATTCATAGTGCAACACGCCTAGGTCGAGGGTTGAGGAAATGCATGAACGCTTATGAACTATTCAATATCCCGCTGGTAGAACTATGCGTGTCGTGTGAGACCACAAAATCTATTCGTACATGTACATGTATTTATGATCACTTATACAGTGCTGACGATCGAGCAACGGCAGCAACATGTTAGAAACTGGATCCTAGCCTGCGCATGAATTGAAACATGATGTAGCTTTCCGCAGACCTAGGATTGTGCTTTTGGCAAGTTTCCAAGCGCCCACGGGGGACTGAACCTGCATTATCGCTAACACACAGTCGATAATTTGAAAGCCACGCATAGCTGTGAGATTGCCTGGCCTATCGAACCCGGAACTTATTGCGGAAATTGAACCGAATATCATTGCCAAGTGAGTGTTTAGGTCCATGTTCCTTTTTCCTGTGTGCTTGGACATGTTGGACCACAAGTGATGCCTGTGAACTGATCGACTGTACTCCAACGATTAGCAGCTAACTGTAGGTAAGCTCATTCAAGTTTGCCGTGGTGTTTAAGATTGTGGATCGTTATGGTACCATCATGTCTAGGATCGGTGCAGGCTTATGAGCTAGAACAGTCACGCCTCTAATTTGCTAAATATGAAATCATGCATGTAGTCACGCCGATTTCACTGGGGGGGGGGGGGGGGGGGGACAATGTCTGTTTAACCCATTAACAGTTGTCACCAAGTTCAGGGGGGGGGGGAGCACGATTTCGTCATATTGGAGCGTGCCCCCCCCCCCCCCCCCCCCCCCCTCGGCTACCGCCGCTAATAATTTGCTGTACATTGAAGCAGTCAGAAATTGTTGAATATCTTCTTGAATTTGCACCATGACTTGACCTTTTAGCTAGTCTGTGGAATATCCCCTATGACATGCGAGCAGACTCGGCGCTAATTATGCAAAACAATTAAGTCTGCGTCTTGACCTCGAGATTCTGACCATTCAGCGGGCGCCTTCTATATCGGGTCTTCGGTAACCCGATGTCGTCTTACAAAAACGTGGCATCCACATTGACAAATCAACAGCTTATAGGCTACATTTCTGATCGAAATGACGTCTCAGTTTTAAAGTCGACTCCCATTAGCTGGCGCGCGGGGTCGCATACAATTTGCATGTTGGGACATATCAGACGTACGTACGACCGTGGCTCTTCACACATGAATTAATCTGCTCCACACAATGCCGTTCAGCATGACATAATTTGAAAAAAACCTAATAAAACTGCAGGATATTCCGAGAATGTTTGGAAGGTAATGATATTTCCGTTTGCTATTACTGTGGTAGATTGTGTCTTTAGTTTATTTGTCTTTCACACATATAAAACAATCACCGGTCATCCGAACAACTTCAAACTTGTCACTGCACATTCTGGGTTCTGAGCAATACAGGGTGAGTAAAAAAAACGAAACCCAAATGTCGGTACCATTACTTTTAGGGAAGTTTCCATGTAGCACTTTCAAAATCTAAGATATGAAAGCCCAATTCATAAGCTTTCTTTTAGTACAAGAATCATTCAAATCACTTATGTACTTTTCAAGTTACGGAATTTTAAACACAACCACCGTTTTAAGGTTCTGTCCATGGAACACAAAAAGTTCAGTGTTCTTTCAGCAAAACGAAAACAAATCACATAGGGATGTGTGTGAGTTGTTTTGTTTTGATGAAAGAACTCACGCCTTTTTTTGTGATCCGTGGACAGAACTTTAAAACGAAGGTTGTGTTTAAAACTCCGTAACTTGAAAAGTACATGAGTGATTTGAATGATTCTTATACTAAAAGAAAGCTTATGAATTGGGTTATTATATCCTAGATTTTGAAAGTGCTACATGCAAAACCTCACTAAAACAATGGTCCCGACATTTGGGTTTTTTCTTTTTTTACTCACCCTGTACAGTGCCCGGTGTTACAGACGGACAGAGAAACTCAGCTTTTCTTGGGATTATAGTTAGATCGATAGATGTCTTTTCACAATAAAACGATTATGTTCATCGGATTGTAGCAAAGAGGGAAATTAGATTGGAGGTTTAGTAAGAAGAATGAGGAAATAACTTTTATGAATATGATTTTATTTTCGCTGTTGAAGGAGGAAGACTTCCAGCCAAAAAATATTGCTTATCCTTGTCGGAGGGAAATGAGCAATCTCCTCCGAATAATGTGTAGTCGTGAGAGTAACTTTGGAAAATTATTACCGAGTTCCCTTGTGGAGGAAGTATGTGTGGGGCCGAATTCATGAGCCTCGAAGAGTAGGGTATGAAGGGCCTTCGAGTGGACACTGTAGTCCGAAACACTGCCGAAATTGGGACTCTGTTACTGTATACTGAGTGCCCACTACATCGCAAAATACATATGCAATGTGTGAAATAAACTGGCACATTAAGCACTTCTTCAGCACTTGGCACAAGAAACATCATGTATAATAATCATATTGTATACCAAGCCCCTTTTCCCATACATTCTCTCCACAATTGCTCAACATGACCTGCTAACGCCATTTCTGCGAACTCAATCTCCTCTGATAATGTGTAGTCGTGAGAAGAATGTTGGAAAATTATTACCGAGTTCCCTTGTGGAGGGAGTATAAGTGTGGGGCCGAATTTATAGAGCCTCGAAGAGTAGGGTCAAAAACTAAAGGACCTTCGAGTGGACACTTAAGTCCGAAACACTGAAATTATGACTCTGTACTTCATATTGAGTGCCCACTTCTTTGCAAAACACATTATGCAATGTGTGAAATAAACTGGCACATTAAACACTTCTTCAGCACTTGGCACAAGAAACATCGTGTATAAGAATCATCTTGTATACATTCTCTCCACGATTGCTCAATATGGCTTAACCAAGAGATAACAGGCCTATATGCGCCATTTCTCTCTCGAGCTGAACTTGAAACCACTCGGCTTTTCTGTGTATCGCAAAAGATTGACGATATCGCTGAATGGAGATCTAAAATTTGATTTGACCGGTGACTGAAACAGGTCTACTGCTGACCTCACCTATGCATGCCTTATAAACCACTCGGCTTTTCTGTGTGTCGCAAAAGATTGACGATATCGCTGAATGGAGATCTAAAATTTGACCGGTGACTGAAACAGGTCTACTGCTGACCTCACCTTTGCATGCCTTATACATTTTGGTTATAGTTTTGTGTGAAGATCGAAAAAGTTGGCCTGATGTTGTTTTGCATTCTGTTTTTCTGCTTTCGAGCTCTTACACCCCTTCGCATGTATTGTATTGTGTACCACAACAACTGCAGTGCAATAGTATACAGAGTTATAAAAAAAAAAACCTGAAACCCAAATGGCAGGACCAATTTTCGAATGAAATTTTGCCTGTAGCACATTCAAAATCTAGGATACGAATGCCCAATTAAAAAGCTTTCTTTTAGTACACGAATCATTCAAATCACTCATGTACTTTTCAACTGTGTACTAAACACAAACACCGTTCTTACAGTTCTGTCCACGGATCACAAAAAAAGGTAAGTGTTCTTTCAGCAAAACGAAAACATTTCACGTACATCCCTATGTGAATTGTTTTGCAGAAAGAACACTTACCTTTTTTTGTGATCCGTGAACAGAACTAAGTTCAAACGGTGTTTGTGTTCAAATTCCGTACCTTGACAAAAACGGTGATTTGAATTATTCTTGTACTAAAAGAAAGCTTATTAATTGGGCTTTCATATCCTAGATTTTGAAAGTGCTATTTGCAGAACTTCATTAACGTACTATTGGTCCTGTCATTTGGGTTTTCTTTGTTTTAATCACCCTGTATTGTAATGGTCTGTACCACAACATCTGCAGTGCAATACCGTTTAATATTTCCACTTTTCGTTTTGAACAAGTTGAACTCGCGTGCAAAGCTCAACTTTTTGTCGACAATTTCCTGTTGTTGTCAGTGTCATATCTGCTTTCCTCTCTCATTAATTTTTTCCCCTGAAAAACTATATTAACATGTTTCTCATGCAATTAAAGCACATCCCGCATAGAATTATTTTTTTCTTCAAGGTTTACGAATTTCTCTTCGTTATCCATATAAAGACGATTGGAAAGAAGTCTTCGCACAATAAACCTCTGTTTCACGTATGAAACACTCGCACGCTATAACTATTGTTTAAAAGAAGCTAATGAATGATTGATTTCATACATGCGCATGGGAAACGTTTTTTCCATCATTATTTCTTTCGCTGGTTGTGTACATACAATTGAACGAGTAGATTGACGGCATACATGTACATGTTTGTTCCTTATCGTTTTTTCATTGGGAGAAACGCCATATGTTTGCATGTCTGGGTTCATCTTTTTATAGCACACTTATTTCCTTATTGGGCGGCTGTGAACAGTAATCGTAACTAACAAAAGCATCCCACACAATTTGAAAAGGGGCAGCACATTTCGTTTCCGCCTTTCTTAAAGGTGCACTTTTGTCCAAAGATCGCCAACCTGAACAGTGTTCGGCTACCATGCAAAGGCATGGCTCAAATCCAGCAAAAAGCCATTGGAATCTGTGCAAGGCTATTATTAGCCTGGCTCCAGACAATTTAATAATACGTACCAAGTCAATGACAATTTAATATGGGAAAGTACCCCAGCAATGCGGATAGCACATGTGTTTAAAGCATCGCCTTTGAAGAGAAACATGTGTGACTGGATTTAAGACTAGTACTCTGACGGCTCGATTTTTGAGAATCAACATCATGCATTTACTATTAGGATATGGAAATACAATGTACACGATATAATTGCGTGCACTTAAATTATACTTTAAATTATCCTCGCAAAGTAAAATTAACATTCGTTCGTCGGCAACGCGTTTTAGAGCCCACTAATCCCCGAAAATATTATTGTTTGGATTGTTTGCTTATCCTATATTTCAATTAAAGGTCTGGTTGAAAGGAAACTGACCTAATGTTTTACCGTTACCGAGAAAAGACGAAAAAACCGGTTGTTTACATCAGACGCGGCGGACATTCTGTGGCACACGCATACGTATTTCAAGCCGTGTCCAGTACGATACAATGTTGTGTGTGTGTCACATAATACACACTGCACCAATACTCAAATGTTGTTTATTGCACGTCCGCAGAACGCGATGCACTCTGCGGCAGGATTCACAACTAACACACCGCAGCTCGATTTTTGAGTCAAAATTTGGACCCCAAAAAATCAGTCTTGCATGGTTCTCGCAAGAATAGCACAAAAGCGCCCAGATTTTAAAGGATGGTTGTATGCACGTTTATACCTTACTTTTCAATGCTCTTTCCAATTAACATCATTTCGTTTAAAATGCATTTTGTAGCCCAAATGGGCGCATTCCAGGACGGGATGATACCCCTTTAATACCGACTAGTCTTGCTTGCAGTTAAACCAGCAGCTTTATTGGAAATAAACCCCCTTATGAGCTGACATTGGCAACGACAAGATTTTCTGTCAGTGTTGATCATAAATTTGATCCGTTATGAGCGTGAGCCAGTCGTGCGCCGCATAATAATGTGCGAACAAAAGAAATCATAATAGGGGATTTTCCCAAACGTTTTCCCATCTGGTAATTTCTCAAAGGCAACAAAAGTCGCCGCGTAGGCCTACTTGGTTGCGTTATATGAGTGAATATATATTGCATGTTCTCAACATCGTCGTCGAAGGGAGGATTGTATCTGAGGCGAATTTTCACTCGTACCCCCCGCCCTGCAAACAGGACGCTGGGATACTCTAATGAGCTTCACGCTCTGATTGGTTGGATTTTTCCGTGACCTGTGACCTGCGCGTCATCACGGCCATGGCTCTGCAAGGTTTGAAACGGCCGTTGAGATTGATTCATTACTCTTTTATTCCAGTTTAGAGATGCTTTTTTCTCGTTGAAAAGCGTATATGTAGAAAATTCTGTAAAACTTACCTGTGTTGTAAATTTACAATTCCCGTCACTCGCTCAGGCTCCGTTTCGAATCATGAACGGTCGGTTTGCATTATGCGACGCTCAAAATTGTGTCCACATGGTCCGCAAATGAAACAGAAATCACATCCGGTATGGAACGCGTGCATTTCTATGGGAAGTTTTCGGATAGTATTTGCGCACATCTAACTGCGGTCTTGAACAGCTGCAGCCAGATGCTTTATAGTTCAAAGGCCACTTCCTTCACAAGATTCTGTGAAGCTCATCCGATCCCAGCGTCCTGTTTGCAGGGCGCGGGGTACGAGCGAAAGGCGAATTGGGCATCATGATGGCTTTTGCACTCAATATTAAAATGCTAAAACACTTAATACATATGTAATGTAATTATTTTAATGTAAATCTTGAAAATACACCTTTGTGTCCCATTTAACATTACTTTCAATTTTCATTTTGCAATTTATAAGGTCATTTTGGTGCCTTTAGCTTTTATGCTCAAGCAAGTTTGCATATTCATTTGCCAGAATTTTGGATATTTTGCTGTTGTACATTTTCTTTTCTTTGGTGATTCGTTGTTCCGGTGCATGACGGCCAATGAGCAAAGTTTTCTCAAAGATGTTTTCAATGAGCAAATATTAGGTTCACAATAAACAGAAAATCTATAAATTGAACACTGTCTTCCTGATATGGCATCACAGCAGCAACACCCTCATTCGTCAGGAAACGCATGGACGATTTTGAACGTTAAAAGAAGTGCACTTTTCACTACACGAAATTAATCAAAATGTTCACCATTAACACTAACTGTGTAAGCAAAATCATATGAAAATTGGAGGATTCAAAACCGTTTGGCTATAAAGAAATATATCATAATGAATCCATTTTTTTTTTACTGTATAGCTGCCTCTTCTACGGGAGAAGGGAGTCGATTTTTTTAATTAAACAATTTTAGTGAAGGAGTGATGACGCCTTTTTTACTTCGATGCTTTAATGAACTCAACCCTTTTCCTACAAGGATTCGTGAAATATCCGAAAAGAAAGGAAAAAGGAACACAGCGCCCCTACTTTTAAATAGGGTGCAGCACACCCCTTCCGCTTTTCTGTCAGCATATCAAACGACGACATGTCCCGGGTGCGCCACTGTCTTTCTATTCCCCCCCCCCCCATTAACCCACCCCCGTCTTCCCGAAATGTTGGTTGGGTTCGTCTGTGTAGGCCCTACACTTCAAACTTCAGCGTGCTCATGGCGGACAAAATTCTTTGCACTGATGACTTTGCCTGGATCAAAAACAGCAGCAACAATAACAACGACAAACGTCACTTCATACGGCTATGAAAGTACATGTATCGCCAACGAGGAAATACAACAGTTTTTCAGAAAGCAACACTCAACAACCACTAGACCTATAGGCTATGGAAACACAAGTATAGTCACATTATTGTACTTGAATACGCGAGTAGTTTCGTTCATTTGAATATGAAAACAAAATGGTTTAGGTCGTTGTATATAGGTGTGTTGCGCATCCGTGCCTTTGCTCGCGGTCTACAGACAAAAATGGATTTGAAGGCCAGTCCATAAGCCATGGAATGCAGTATAGCAAATCCACATGGGACGCAGTGACATTTACAACTAATAATAATCTACAAGAGCATGCTTTATGATTCAAATTGTACATGTTTTTCACTCATTATTAGCGTCATATATGAACCGAGAAGGGAAAACTTTGCTTTGAACGTCCCACATGAAGCTCTCGGTCTTTTCATAGTCTCCGACGAAAAAAACAATCCACCCAAAACGTAGTTTTTTCCTGTTCATGTACCCTTAAGGAGACCTTTGTTTTTCGTCATAAGTTATACCCACTGATCTCTATATAAAGACTGGATAGCTAATAAAGAGCCGCACAGTGTACGAATTTGACGCCATATTGGTGAGACCGGCTGGTGATCTACAAAGGACAAGTTACCGTATTTATAGACAGCATGATTTCTTTTGTAACGTCGCGGCTCACTTGACTTATATTTTGGCCACCACCACTGACCAACTGACCAAGGTTTACTACAATTTTTCTAACGTCGTGGTTACTTTTATAATGCCGAAAATCACTTTTTCGGCGTTTTTGAAACAATAATCACTACGGAAATGTGTTCCTTTTAGAACATCATAATATGTGTACGTGACCAAAATGCGCGTCAACTGTTGATACAACGCGCGCGTATTTACGCGTAGAACGTTCGTATAATACGCGGCCATCTTCGTGAGACCGGGGGCGAATTGGTCAATATGCAAAGTCTACTGTGTGAATGTTGTATGCATATCCGCTATCCAGTCTTTATATAGAGATCAGTGCTTATACCTTAGGGAGACACCGGACCTTATAGGGAGACATTTCAATGTCTCCCGAATGTCATAACTCCTATATTTAAAGGCAAAATTTGATGTCGCAAATAGGCTAGATCGGTTGCTCGTGTCGTGGTCCAAAACATAAATAAAAATTCGTGGGGGCAGGATATAAAGGAAAATACCGGGGGTCAGGGGTCATTAAAGGTGGAAAATTGTGTGCACATCCCTATGGGAATGTCCCCCTATTTGCTAAGGTACCATTTCCCGTAATAATTTCTATAATTCTTAAATTAAAACAAAATTGAATTGGGCCTATACGTTTGTCCAAGGTCCTGCTTATAGGATCGAAATGTCAACCCAATCAGTTAGCAGTTTGCACCAGTTTTATTCATTTTGTATAATTATTGAAGCATTTCCTGTAAGCAGAGGCCAATTGAGAAATTGCACGGAAATGTGCAAAGCACGTGAAAACATATTTGGTTCCTAAACCAGGATATCGAGCCTAAATGTCCTGCATTGTAAATTCACAGATGACACCTCGCTTAGTGAACTTGCTACCGGTCTCTGAGAAATTGGGCAAAGTGGAGTGCACTATTAAAGGCATATCATTTGCTTTTCATGCATTTTGGTACATTTCCAATAATAACACCACTCAAAATCAAAAGAAGAATGTTAGAAACCTAACCTGATGAAGTTTCAGCTCAGTGGATATTACACCTTTCGAGAAAACAGTTGAAATTAAACCATGCACCACCTTTTGATCACAAAACACGATTTCGTCAGTATCATTCTTTATTTCCGAAATCACTGAGTCAATGGACTCGCTGATGATCGATGGAAATCACCTTCATTTTTTGATTTCTTCCAAATGACAACAAGCCAGATGGAATAATTTCACGAGGTGCTTAGTGCCATTGCGATCTTTAATCCACGCAAGCTTTTTGATAATAATTCGATAGGTTACTTTTGGGATAATCATGCAAATAACCCTTTTCTTCACGTCAGATTTGCAGTCTATGATTCGTTACATCGACGACATCTGATACCTCTTGGTGTATAAGTCGAGGTGTCGAGAGCCATCATGGCATACGTCAGGCAAGACTCAAAGATGCCTCAGTTGAAGCAGAAGCTTCACGGCTTCCTTGCCCACGGGATTCAGGACTTTCCCAGCCTGGTGACCTTCGGCGCCACACAGGAAGACGACCAGGAATCCTTACAAATTGTAAGTTTGTGGCCATGAAAATTGTCGTTTGATCTTGCACCAATATAGGATCTGTTAAACTTGTTTTAAAAACTCCTTGTTCTGAAAACTGTTGTTTCCATGCTCAAAACCTCAAACACTTGTGCGACCTAAATTCGTAAAATCTTGATATGCATATGCGCAACTGAAATACTAAACTGCCACTGGATCCTTGCCAGAAGTGGTATTCTGGCTTGGGAATGGAGAAAAATGTTTCTGATATACCGGGGACTAGACGACATGTGAGTACTTGTACCATAATGACTTGACATCAGAGTGGATGACTTGTGAGGACATTTAGCTAACTTATGACTTGACTTAAGACTGGATGACTTTGTGAGGACCTCTGGTTGACTCGAACCGTACTGTTGGTGTTTTATTTGACAAGGAGGAATCCTGGCGGAAGTTTATCGATAAGACAAAGCTCCGGGAACTGACCAAGAAACAGAAAGAGCAACAAGATGCTGTCTGGGAGATCATCAGAACTGAAGTCGAGTTCATCCGAGACCTGCGCATCATCGAAGATGTCTACCTCAGCACACTGGTCAACCTCCAAGCTTCTATCATGTTGAACGACATTGAGACTGAGAACATCTTTAGTAACATCTCAGCCATTGAGAAGCTTCACTCAAGGTTCTGGAAGGAGAAGCTGTCTAATGTTCCCAAGAAGGCCAGAGCGGAGAAAAGGCTTCCCAAGGCTGTAGACTTAGTCGAAGCCTTCAAAGGTTGGGTAAGTAGATATATAAGAAGTAATTATCCAACATAACTCAAGTGAAACAAATTGCTTTGAACAAGATTTGACACCTAACTCTTGCTTGATGACATGGCTGATAGATTTGCCTAAGATCCCAAAATCTTGCCATCTTAATTAGAAGAAATCTCATTTACATGTTTATCACATTGTTTACTTATTTGTGTTTTGGAATAAAGAATAACAGAAGAACCCATTCATTTCCCCCTTTGAGACACGATACGAGTGTCAGTGTAAGCCTCCAATCAGTTTTTTTTTCTGTTTTAGTTTGAAAGTATCTCTGTACCCTACCATGAGTTTGCCATCAACCAGAATGATTGCCTGAAGTATCTGAGATGCAGGACGAAGGACAACGAGATGTTCAGATATTTCGTCGAGGTAAAACCTGGGAGCTGTTGTTTTGTGTGAATAAGAAGAAAAAGAGCATTTCTGGTATGAAATAGGGAGGTTTAGACAATTTCTTGTAAAGTTTGGTTCTCGCCAACTTGAACTCTTGGATTTTTTTATCAATGCTGTGTACTCAGTGTTACCCAAGGACTTGCGAAAAAAAACCGGCTTAATTACTCGGGTTGGACTCAACCACGAACTCCTCTCAACAATACAAAATTCTTGAGAAAGAGAGGCTTTACTAAGACACCAAAACCCCAAGCCATAATTCCCTCATTTTCCCTTTTAGTGGGCCCAAAAGCATCCTAGGAGCCGAGGCCTCAAACTCCACCACCTCCTGGATTCTCCCCTGCGTCGCATCGCCAAGTACCCGGTCCTCCTGGCTGCACTGGAGAAGACAATGGATTATCAAAATCAATACCTCTCCAAACCAGTAAGTTGCAGAGAGCTACCATTGATCTTGTAGACAAGGTTTTTGCAAGTTGCACATTAAATCTTTTCGAGTAAAACTGTTTTCGAACTATATTTTTACCTGCAAGCAGTGATGAAGTTGAGTCCACCACAAGTTCTTTCACTAGTAAATCACAAGTTCCTTAAGTCCAGTCACAAGTAACAGGTGTGAGCAATAAAGGAATGCCATTGAACAATTCATTTGAATAGCTTGTGACTTGAAATGAGATTTGAAAACTTGTGATAGAGTTGTATGGACTTGTGAGGACTTGTAATAGACTCGACTACAACACTGCCTGTTTGTCACTTTTCTATTCATTTTTATTTTATGAAAGGTGTCAGAAATCAGAGCATCTGCAGTACAAGTAAGCCTCGAGGGGAGAGATGAAATGGAAAGACAAAAGAAGAGGGGGTCCTTTGAGGTATGGAGGTCACCTAGGGGATCAAGGGAGTATCCCAAGTCTCCCTCTGATGAACTTTTCAGTGAAGTATGTTCAACTTTATATTGACAGTGTGCTTCTATTGTTGTACAGCGTGTGTCAATAAAAACGCAGGATTCAAAGCGATTTTTTTCCGAGAAAATTATGCTACTGGTGTGCCTAATTGGATAAGGATTTGATTGTCCTTAATTTCATCTTTGACAAGATTTTTGTTTGGTGGAATTTGGACTTTTGGTTCAAAAGTTATGACAAATTTTGTGAAGCCCTTCTGAAGCGGGTTGGTCTGATTCAATGACCTTAACACAACGACCAGTTATGTACAATGTAGGTATGCATTGAAGACAATTAAACCAGAACAAAACTTTCTTTGAAACAACTGATGATAAGTATCACTTAAATTTAATAACTGGACTATCATTGTTTCAAAGCATCATGAATTATTGACTAATAACATTGATTGTGGACTAAAGGATTATGTAAGCCTAATCCTGCCACACATGTCCTTCTTTGTGATCCACAAATACTTTCACCTGTACTGAATTCAAACCTTTTATTAGGTATGTGTGATTTCACAAATCAGACCAGCTTGGAATTTATAACCCTTCTTCAATGTACTCTATCTCTGGACAGGATTGTCCAAATGAGATGGGATAAAAAGCATAGTGAAGAGAAGGAAAGGTACTTTGAAAAGAGGGTTAACATTATGATGAACAGGGGTGGTTTATATTCTTAATATTTTTGTTTCTAATCCTGCGGTTTTTTTTGACACACGCTGTAGTATGGTGTACAAGTCATACAAAATATGGGACAGGAATGTAGGATAATTAAACCTCTCAGACGCAATGGTGTACTTTTTTGTCTTCTTTACCAATTGAATTGAACAGTACTCATATCTGGGTACTGATTGAAGGCAGTATGTGTTTTTCAGTTCATCTGTTATGTTGCTTATTTTTATTTCCAGTCCTTTGATTGTGTGTCTGTTGAGGAAGCCAAGACTCTTGAGCTGGAGGAGACACTGAATGATATCATGAGGCACGGACTTCAAGATTTCTCGAGCCTTCTGACCTTCAGCACCACGAGAGAGGATGATGAGGGTTGCTTTAAGATCAAGGAGTCTTGGCGCGCATATGCAGACAAGGAGAAGCTATCTGAGTTGGACGAGAAGGAGACAGACCTACAAGACGCCATTTGGGAGATCATCAAATCAGAGGTTGGGTTTATCCGAGACATCCGCATCGTCGTCGATTTTTATCTCTGCACTTTGCTGAATGTGCAAGCATCCGTGTTTCTGAATGAGGTTGAGACGGAGCTTATCTTCGGCAACATCACTGCCATCGAGAAGCTTCACACGACATTCTGGAAGGAGAAACTGTCAAACGTCGTCAAGAAGGCACAGGCTGAAAAGGAGCTGCCATCAGTCTCCAACTTGGCTGAGGCATTCCAAGAGTTTGCCAGTCTATTTGCCCCGTACCTCGAGTTCTGCACCTCCCAGAAGAATTGCTTGAAGTACCTGAAAGATCAGTCGAGGCAGAATAACATGTTCAAGTTCTTTATTGAATGGGCAGAGAGACATCCCAACAGCCGAGGCCTCAAATTGATGGATCTCCTCGAGTACCCAATGCAGCACATCGCAAAGTACCCCCTTCTTCTTACTGAAGTAGAAAGCAAGCTTTGCGAAAGTCAAACAGAAGTATCCAGCACAGTAAGTCTTACAAACATTCCTTGGATTCTTGTTCAGAATATGATAGATGTGGGAATGGGGAGATTGATATTATTACTAAGAATATTTCCAAGGCCCGGCAGTTTTTGGAAGGTTCAATGGTGTTTTATATGTTTCTAGATGTTTGAAGAGGTACTGTAAAGGTAATGGTTATTTTATTAATATGATTATTTCAAAACAGATATCCCAGGTGAAGGAGTTTGTCAAAAAAGTGATGCACGAGTCCACACAAAGACAAGAAGAACAAGGGGATGAAGATGGAGGTGAACAAATTGATTCAACGGAGAACAAGACATCCACAATTGGAACATTAACAAAGCAAGACGACTCTTCCTGTGAGTATGTAGATGAGATCGTCACGTGTCTAGTCCGGCAAGATCCCAGGTTGAAGGAGTTGCAGCAGATGCTGGATGACATTCTGACCAACGGGGTTCAAGACGTTATGAGCCTGTTGACATTTGGCACTAAGGAGGAGGATGCAGAATGCTTCCAAATCGAGAACTCTTGGCGTGACTTTGCAGACGAGGAGACACTAAGTGGATTAGATGAGAGGCAGACAGGCCAACAAGAAGCCATCTGGGAGCTCATCTTAACAGAGAGTAGATTCGTCCAACGCATTGGCATCATTGAAGACGTCTATCTGAACACCCTTCTCAACCTTCAAGCCTCCATCATGTTGAATGAGATTGAGACTGAGAAGGTGTTCGGCAGCATCGCTGTAATCAAGAAGCTCCACACGAGATTCTGGAAGGAAAAGCTCTCCAAGGTTGCCGAGAAGGCTCGAGCAGAGAAGAGGCTGCCCTCAGCCTCAGACCTGTCGGAGGCATTTGAGGGATTTGGGAATCTCTTCGCGCCCTATATCGAGTTCTCAGAGCAATATCACGAGTGCCAGAAGTATCTGAGACAGCAAATCAAGACGAACGAAAAGTTCAGGTATTTCTTGAAGTGGGCGAAGGGTCATCCAAAAAGTCAAGGTGAGAGTCTGGAAGACCTTTTACAATGTCCCTTAGGACGCATCGCCAAGTACCCCGACTTCCTCACTGCAGTAGAGAGAAAGACGCTCGAAGATGGGACCTTATCACAAAGAGTAAGTCAAGCATGAATCATCATGGGCATGACTTGTTTCTTTTCTAAACAGTGTGTTTTCATGACAAATTTAAAAGGACCAGTGAATGGGAAATTCTTGTACTATGTGTAAGCTTTTACCTCACAGAAGCTTTATAAATTCAGAGATAACTGTGTAAAGCATCCCATTAACCGGTGAGTAGTTATCCTTGACAGTGCTTAAGGTTTATAATCTTTTTTAAGCCATTTTTTTTACTTTCACAAAACTGTATGTTCAGTACTACTGCTTGGTACGTTTTGTTTTGCAAATGATAAATTTTTGTGGTTAATCGGGAAAAGGATTTTAAGACATTGAAAAGATAAAAATACATCAGTCCTAAGACATTGTTTTGTTTTACTTCAGATACAGGAAGTGAAGGAATTTGTTTCTCGAGTCGATCACGAATTGAAACAGGAGGAGGACAGAATGAAGACAAATTGCAACCACAGAACATCCATGAAAGACAAGGAAGCTGATTCTTCTTGCGAGTACGTTGATGAGGTCGTTACAGCTTTGATACGGCAGGATTCCAAGATGGTTCAGTTGCAGGAGGTACTGGATGATTTGATGGCGAGTGGACTCCAAGATTTCAAAGGCTTGCTGCAGTTTTGCCCACCGACAGAAGACAAGGAGAGCTGCCTCCAAGTTCAAGACACGTGGCAGGAACTTGTGGGCCCGGAGGAGCTTTGTAAGATGGACAAGCAGGAGGTGGAACAACAAGACGCTATCTGGGAGATCGTAAAGACAGAATCTTGCTTCATCCAAGACATCCGTGTCGTCGATCTTTATCTCCGCACTCTGCTCAACGTCCAAGCAGCCATGCTGCTGAGCGACATTCAGACAGAGAAGATGTTCGGCAACATCTCTGCAATCGAGAACGTCCATGACAAGTTCTGGAAGAAGCTATCCAGCATCACCTCTATGGTGAGGGCAGGGCAGGGGATGCCTTCAGTCGTGGATTTGGCAGAGGCGTTTGAGGAGTTTCCGCAGCTCTTTGCACCGTACATAAAGTACGGCGTTGCTCAAAGCAAATGCCTGAAGTATCTGAGAGAGCAGAAAGTGAATAACGAAATGTTCAGGATGATTTTAGAGTGGGTTGAAAGACATCCAGATGGCCGAGGTCTCAAACTGCAAGATCTGCTCAGCTTGCCAATGCAGCGCATCGCTAGGTATCCAATCCTGTTAGCTGCGATAGAAGGAACACTCGATGAACAAGACAAATCAGAAGTGTCTGAAATGGTAAGTTAAAGTCAAAACGTATGCATATTTGGTGCCACGATTCGGGCAATGTGGGTGCAAGTCTTTTTCTTTGGAAGAAAGTTGTTCGTTTCTTTGATAAATTAGTTCAAAACAAAATTGTTCAGCCCTGCATTTGCTTATACCCGAATGCTATTTGTCCGTGAATAACAGTGGACATGTGAAATGAGCATTCATTTATCTTTCGTGTCACCATGTCCAGACCCAATTAGCTCCAATAGGTGATAACTAGCCCTTCAAACACTGAATGATTACCATACAAAGCAATGTACTGATCGATCCTATGGAACAATTTATGGAAAGCAGTCTTGGTTCTTTTTATTCAGATGTCCCAAGTGAAGACATTTGTGAGGCATGTTTATCTGGTGTCAAAACAGGCAAAAGAGAGACGGATTTTACCCGAGGGAACTGGCTCCCAATCACCCCTGATTCGCAAGGCAGCGGTCAGACATCAATCTTCATCCAAAGAGGACAACAAGATGCTCCTGTTGATGGAGATGCTAGAAGAGTTTGTGACGGACGGGATTCCCGATTCACCAGCTGTGCTGTCTCTGAGTGGCAAGAGAGAAGACGATGAGAAGTCCTTCCAAATCGAGGAATCATGGCGATCACTTGGTGACCAGGAGAGGCTGAGTGAGATGAATAAAAAGGAGGAAGATGAGCAAGATGCCATCTGGAAAATCATCACAACAGAAGTACAGTTCATCCAAGACTTGCACCTCATATTAAACTTGCATCAACGATCGCTCACCAATCTCCAAGCATCCCACATTTTGAATGAGATCGAAAACGAGAAGATCTTCCGTATCACAGATGCCATCTTAAGGCTCCACACGAGATTCTGGAACGACAGCCTCTCAACTGTCATCAGCAAGGCACGGGAGGAGAAGAGATTCCTCTCGGCCAGAGACCTAGTCGATGCTTTTGAGGGATTTGCAGATCATTTTGCCCCCTACACCGTGTTTTCAAAGGCTCAGAAGGAATGCATTAAGTACCTTAGGGAACAAATCATCCACAACAAAATGTTCAGGTACTACTTGGAGTGGACCGAGAAACACCCCACGACCAGAGGTCGCTGTCTTCAAGATTTTCTGGTGTGTCCAATGCAGCACATCACCAAGTACTCACTTCTGCTTTCCAGATTGGAAGAAACAGTGGATGACCAGGACAAAATGGAAGTGTCGAAAACAGTGAGTTGAAGTTCAGTTACCAAGAACTTTTTGGACGTTTTTATATGCTGTGGCCAAACGTTTTAAATTTGTTTTTATCTAATGCTGGTTTGATTTGACTGTCTGGCAGTTCATAAAATCTTTACAGCAAACTTGCTATGTTACATTTACTGAATTATGAGGCACCGATGGTCTTGTTTTTAGTTGTCACATTGTCCAATAAGTATCGGCAAATTGGCTAATGTCGTCATCATGTTGAGTTGTGTACATAAACAAATAACATTGATTTTATAATTATCTCAGCTCGCCGAAGTGAGGAAGTTCTTGATGCTTGTGTCTCCCAAGAATGGCCAAAAAGCAGAGAGTCAGGGGCCGGTAGAGCAACTTGGAGCAACTAGCCAACATAAAGGGGCAGTTGGCGGGCATGGCACCAATCCATCGGGGGAGTATGTAGAGGTCTTCGAAGATTTGGCGAGTGAAGATTCGGACATGCTGAGGCTCACGCAGACGCTAGACGAATTTGCGACCTATGGGCTTCAGGATTTTCCAGCGCTGCTCACGTTTACCATGAAGAGAAAAGACGAGGAATGGTTCGACATCGAGAGATCGTGGATTGAGTTCATCGACCAGGAGAGGGTGTGCGAACTTGATCAGAGCTCGGTTGATCAACAAGACGCCATCTGGGAGATTATCTCAACAGAGGTTAGCTTCATCCGCAACATCCGCATCGTTGTCGATTTGTATCTCTGCACTCTGCTCAACCTCCAAGGCGCTATCCTGCTGAACCAGATTCAGACAGAGAAGATCTTCAGCAACATCACTGCCATCGAGAAGCGCCACTCCATATTCTGGAAGGAGAGACTGTCCAACGTCATCTGGAAAGCACGCGAAGAGAAGAGGCTTCCGTCAGCTCTGGACCTGGCCGAGGCTTTCGACGGCTTGGAAGCACTCTTCAAGCTGCACGCCAAGTTCTGCACTACCAAGATCAAGTGCCTGAAGTACCTCCAAGAGCAGACTGAGAACAATAAGATGTTTAGGTTTTTCATTGAGTGGGTTGAGAAAAATCGTAAAAGCCGAGGCCTGAGGTTGCAGGATCTTCTCGAGTTGCCAGGGAAGCGCATTGCTTCGTATCCTGTTCTTCTCACTGAGGTTGTGGAAAAAACGCTTAAAGACGAAGACAAAGAAGCATTGACTAAAAGAGTAAGTCCAAGGTCATAAAAGTAAAACGTAATATGCTAAGAGAAACTTTGATCTGTTGGACTAATTAACATTGGTATATACATGTACTTCAATCTGACAGTATGAGCAGAAAAATGTGTTTCTCTTAAATTCTCAACTTCGATCAGTAAAATCTACATTGGATATAATTTGAAAAAAATCCATTCCATGCAGTAACCGGTGCTAAGAATGGATGATGTATTCGACTTGAATGTTTTCATTTGAACATTATTTCGAACATAGGCCTGTATTTTGTTCTTTGTGATTTTTTTTATTTAGGTATCTGAGGTGAAGCAATTTTTAATGCAAGTGCCTCTCGAGATGACACAGGAATCTGGCAAGGATGAGAAGACCTTTTATCGCACACAGTCCACGAAAGATACAAAGATGCTCAAGTTGCAGCAGACTCTTGATGAGTTCATGACCAACGGGCTTGAATTCTTCCCCACCCTGATGACCTTCACGACAGACCGAGAGGATGATGAGGAATGCCTCAATATCGAGGACTCCTGGCGTGCACTTACCGACAACAACAACTTGAGTGACTTGGACAAGGAGCAGACGGAACAGCAAGAAGCAATCTGGGAGATCATTAGCGCAGAAGTCAATCGCGTCAAGGACTGCCGCGCCGTGGTTCTTCTGTACCTCAGCACCTTGTTTAACCTGCAAGCCAACGGCATGCTGAACGAGATCCAGACGGAGAAGGTCTTCAGCAACACCACCGCCATCGAGGAGCTACACATGAGATTCTGGAAGGGAAAGCTGTCTAACGTCCTCAAGAAGGCTCGGGCAGAGAAGAGGCTTCCCTCGGTGGCAGACTTGGCCGATGCTTTTGAGGGGTTCGCCAAGCTGTTCGCACCTTACATCAGGTTCTGCTCCTCCAGCAACGTTTGCCTGAAGTACTTGAAACAACAGGTTGATCAGAATCCCATGTTCACGTTTTTCTTGGAGTGGGCAGAGAGACATCCCCACAGCCGAGGCCTCAAACTGCAAGATTTCTTCGTCTCCGCCACGCAACACATCTGCAGGTACCATTGTCTCCTGAAGAAAGTGGAAGAGACGATGTCTACTGAAGATGGCAAAATGGAAATTAGCAAAAGGGTAAGTCGATGTTTTATCACAACCAAGTGTATGTCCTGATATATCACAACAAGACGGGCACTCCTTAATGTTCAACAAGAAGCTGTATCTTGGTGATTCTTTTCTTTAGAGATGCTCCAGGCTCGACTATGGATTGATAAAATACTTATTGATCAGATAATGGACTCGCAAGAAGTTATCAATTTAAAAAAAAAACAATTTGTGCTTGTTGTGGTAGAATGAACCTAATTAAATTTCATGTTTTGTTTCTCAACAGATATCAGAAGTAGAGTACCTCATCGGGCAACTAAACCACATCATTGAAAGTTCGAGCCAATCGGTGTCTTAAGACACAAGAAATGTGGAGATTTATGCGCACGGCGAGACAAAATTTACATGCGATGTTAATTCTGTATGACTACTTTTTTGTAAATGACCTTGAACATGGAACAAGAAAGTTGAGATAAGATTTTCTCTCAATTTTGATGTGTCTTTACACAGAGCACACGCATGCGCGTTTTTCCCCCTAAAGAAAAATGCATCGGAATAACCTGTACAAATTCCGTTTGTTTATTTCATTGCACTTAGAACCAGACGTGCCTGGTTGAATGACATATCCATCCGCCACAACCGAAGCCATTTATTGTGGCGGTACAACGGAAAATATGTAGCTAAAATTAAAAACAAAGTAGGCCTAAAATATATTTTCATAGAAATGTTTATAATGATGTCGTAACAATTTAGTGAGTCCTTTTTATCGTTCTCACCTCGTCCTTCAAAAGCTAGCCATCGCGCGAAGAATAAAAACTAAACTCAGCGTTATATGTTAAGCCTCTTTGTTGGACATATCGTTCCAGATCTATATCGTAGCATTCGTAGAATTATGGTGTAATTCCTTTTTTTTTATGGCAAAATCTTGTGAATGTTGCAACCTGACGCTGTTATTTTTCTTCATATATCATCTCAATGAAGGTCAGTCATTGCAAAAATGATGATAAAACATGAATCTGGGACTGCGAAACATTTCAAGGTTTATAGAAAATACTTAGAAAATGTTCTTGACTCTCCATAGACTTTGTACACAACCGCTAAAGTAGCGTCAGGTTGCAACATTCTTTCCAGATCTTATAATTTATAATTGATTGGAATTATTTTAGTAGTTGGCATTTTGTACGTGAGATGAATGTATTCATATCAGCAATGGAGAAGTTGCCGAATGTTTTATTATTTCGTTTGATGATTTCGGAACGAGTTTATTTTAAGCGTATTAGGCCTAACAATCCGGATTATTTTTAATTTTCAAACTATATTTTTATATGTTTTTATAAGCTTAGTGCCTTTGATATGAGGATAGCATTTATATTCAATAATAAGGCTTCCCTGTGAAAATATGACTAAAAATAAACCACAGAAAATTATTGGAAAAAAAATTGAAGAATTTTAAAGATACTGACCGACATGACTCAAAATATAACGGCATAGTAAGTTCCTATTATGCATTTTCACCACAACTGTTCATTGTGTATCAAATCTCCAAATATTTCATAAATTTTTTTAGAGTGTGAGTTAGAAGGAACGATATAATTATAGTTAAAGGTTGTCAAACAGTTAAGTCACTTCGTTAATATCCTACCAGTTGTAGCCCCAGATATATACTCGTTATATATGAAATATATAATATAATATGAAATTATTTTGTGAAACGTTTTGCATAATGGTCACACAAGACTAGAAGTGAGAAAGTTGTTCTTTGGTGTAAGATGAACAGGGAGCACTAAAAATGTTTGTGATTTTGTCAGAATGTTTATCAATATGATTCTCCTCATTGTTCTCGTACAATCATATTCACTTAGGGGCAATTAAGAGATAAACTTTAATATTCTTATAAAATTTGGGGATGATGTTGGGTATTAATTGTAGTACCGCACAGTGCCACGATGTAGATAATGATAATAAGTTTGGTAAAGAGAGTATTTTCCATTAAAACTGATAAACGGTTGAGGAATCAAATAATGTTGGTACACGTATTTGTAAATTATTTTTTAGCTTTTTATCGATTATCTTGCGTTTGCTGGATGCGGGTCCACAAAGAATGTACATTTTTGATATTCAGGAACAACATATACAGGGTGAGTAAAAAAAAAGAAACCCAAATGTCGGGACCATTTTTTAAGTGAAGTATTGCATGTAGCACTTTCAAAATCTAGGATAGGCCTATGAAAGTCTTCAAAAGCTTTCTTTTAGTACAAGAATCATTCAAATCACTCATGTACTTTTCAAGTTACGGAATTTTAAACACAATCACCGTTTTAAGGTTCTGTCCACGGATCACAAAAACTTCAGTGTTTTTTTTTTCAGCAAAACGAAAACAAGTCACATAGAACGCACACAACTTTGTGTGGACCAATCCGGCATGCTATCAATTCTATATAGCTATCACGAAGGTTCCCGTCGATGGCAAAAGCATGTAGCTGGCTGTTGTTCACACAAAAAATCCGACGTCACTAGGAAGTTGCTAACAATAACTTGTCATGTCCTTGAAAGGGGGCTCGCGAGTACATAATTGTGATCACTTGCTCGGATTCGTCTATGTTAATTAGGGTAACGTCGCTTCAGTTTAAACCACGCCCACTGCACATTAATTAGCGTAACCACTGGAACCGCAAGTTAACGCAACAGGAGTGTTTAGCCAATCGCCGCTTGTAATCAGTGGTGCGCGCGCGTACATGACGAGGTCTCTCGGTTTATTCACGAATCGGCCATATTAAATTAGTAAATTGAGAGGTAAATCCTCTATCATTGTTGGAACTTGCGAAGAGCAAGGAAAGCACTGACATAAAGTTAATAACAAATGAATACCAGTCTGCTCTGATGAATACATTAACATTTGTGACCTAACATACCTAATGTTTTAAGCCACATTTAATTAGATTTGAGGTGAATGCATGAATACTCTTGCACCATCCCATTCAACAGTTCACAATTTATAAAATACTTTCAGAGAACACGACCAAAATGGCTTTCCGGTTCGTTAGTGTGACGTCGTTGTCAATTCAATCACGGTGTAAAATAGCACGAATGGAACCGAAAGTTCAATTAACGCAATTCGAGCGTGTAGTATGCATCCGAAGAGCAAATATGAGACCTTATTTGGACTACGAGGACCAACTTATAGGACCGGTTTTTAATACAAGGGGTTCATAGTGGAAGTAAATTAATGGTTGGGTAATCCTTACCGTACCTTTTAGGACCCCGTTCCTATATAAGGTTAAAAGACTCACCAAAACAGCTGACTAAATGACACTCAAACGTGACATTCTGATATATTTCGTGACACATTTGAACAGTTGGCAATGACACCTTATCAGCAGGTTTAATTTTGTGGAGGACAGGGCTAAAGACGACGATGACAAACAGAAAATATATTAAAAAAGCAAGATGGCGAACTGCAAAAAGGTACGTAGGAAAGTCCTATTTTTTTTTTACATGAGGTGCTTTCAAAATTACAACTAACATGAGTTTACCTGAAGAAAAAAGACTTTTCTAGCCTGCAAAGGTCACTTTGGTACTGGACAGTCATCTGCAAAAGTCAGTTTTGGAGAACTCGTAAAAATAGAGGTGTCCAAAAGATAAGGATTACCAATATTTGACTATTGATTGAGTTAATAAGTTTGTCAAAAATTCGTTGGATAAACAACGCATGCGTGTAACGTACCTGATTCCACTGAATCTGCGCTCCGAGAGGGTGGCTTACCCGGGTGAGCCCCGAAAATGACGTCAAAGCTTATCGAACGGCACGGGGCTGACCCGCGTCGACCCGGGTGAGCTTAACGAACGCAGCCAAACTGCACTCAGTGAGGGCGCACCGTGCAAAGGGTGTGTGTTTATGGCACAATTGCCGCCAAAGTTGCCGCGCGCCAGCAAGTGCTGATAAATTGCGCCCCCTTTCGGCGGCTAGATTCGACTATTTCCATAGCGAACGTGGTAGAGCTAGTCATGATAAGAGGTCACCGTTTTCTTTTCCGGAGCGGGTTAAAGAGCAATCAATTTTTGTTGCGGAAGTGAACATCATCTGCATGGACATAAACTGTTGGCTCAGCGTTCATTGTAAAGAGCCACATTTTTTGAGCCACTTTGTTTTTAGCCACTTTAAGTCCGGCCGGAAGTCGGGTTCACTTGCGGGTGTGTTAGTCCGGATACTGCTGTTGCTAAGGGAAATGACGTTACAGCTGTCACCTGGTTGCCAGGCATAATTTATTTTTTGTTTACCTCGGAGTGAGTTCTGCAAGAGTGGAAGTCAGCCAGCCGGGAGTTTTATTTTAAAATAAAATAAACAAAGGCCCTCGCCATAGTATCAACAAACAACTACATGGAATGGAGAAAATAAAATGTTTGTATGGAGTCAATATTTTTGTCTGGAGTAGTCCTTAGCTATATGACGTAATTGAATGCTGACAGTCTAAACAAAAAAAAACACACCATGACTTTGATAATATTTAAGTCTAGACTCCTTTACCTTTGACCTCGAATGTAATATACAACATTTTGCTTCTGCCGTAATTTTCAGAAATGGATGGATTTGGGGGCTAGTATATTTTATAGCAAATATTGTTACACTGACATGTTTAAAGTTTTGTGATGGATGCTAAAAAAAAAACAAGACAAAAAATGCTGTTCTTGTAGACTGGCTCCCTGAAACGGAACAAGTATAGACGTCTGGGAATTGTCAGGTCAGGGAATCAGACTAGCTGGCTTGCACACTTTCAGTTCACGCGTACCGATTGAAAACAAAATGTTGGTAAAAAAACTGGGGGCAGTATTGGAACCAAAAAGTAACGATGGTCTGCAGACCATCGATGGATACAAAATTCCACTTTTCTTGAAATGGAACACACCCGGTGTCAACTGTCATGATTTCAAAAGATGCTTGAGACTACTATTATTCGTTACAGTCAAGTAAGGTATTTCATAATAATTTGGTAGTTTTGCTTTTTGATGTTACGCAAATGTTGTATATTACCTTTAAATAGTGGTGAAGTTTGGCCAATTTTGTCATTTCACAATAATTCTGATAAAAATAATAGCTTTAAAAAATCCCCAATTTCACCATCATGAATTGCCTACAAAAGTAATCCTAACCAAATTGTTTGCGGTTCATTTTGTTTTACAAATAAAAACAAAAATTTAAAGAGTTTTCTACAGTATGGAAAGTCATTTGCATATCTTGCGTATTACGGTAGCAAAGAAATGTTGATTGGTCAAAGCTGACGCACTTAATTAAATATCACTGCATATCTGCTACGCAATTGGAGGACCATTGAATGGCTGCGCAGTAGACGCACAAAACGGCGAACGATACCGAAGTCTGCGCACATCAGTCACCCCGAATATTTTCCTTGACCCGATGATGAATGAAGACTGACTTAATATTGCGTGAATTTACTTTGCTTTTTAGCATTTGTTTAGTCGTTGTGTGAAAGAATAGCTAGGCAGGCTCTGTGTGCAGCACCATCTCACAGTGCTACATGTACATGACCTTGGTAACTTTCCCATGAACCAGTCAACCAGGAAGTACATGTACAAGTTTGACAAATTTCCCGCTATGAGCTGCTAATCGTTGGGCCGCCTACTTGCATCCTGCATCATTCCAGAAAGTACTACCGTCACGATTACACAACAATTTCATTGCAGAAAGTGACCTCAAAATCTATGAATTGAGGTGCGTTTAGACACTGTATCTATCATCATAAACTGTTTTCCCAGCAGCAGCTACTGAGTGAATTGCCTGATAACCGAACCACCAGCTCAGCATTGTCGCGACAACTTTCCTTCAGGCAAAGTTTGCAGACGGCAGCTATGATCATTTGAATAACAATAAGGTAAGCTTAAATTCTAAAACTCCTTTCCCTATTCGATGGTCCATTACCATAATCCTGGCCCAATTTATCGACGGATCAGTGGCCGGGTAACTTTAGGGAATGTCCCTTTTCATTAGCTATAACGTCACTATGATGATCATCCGGTTGTTGCTGAAATGAGCCCGGCTCGGCCGCTCCGCTGATCCCGGGCACGCACCGGCACTGCACCATATGGTTTTTGCATCATTGCATTCCAGTTGCCCTCGAGTGCTAGTTTATTGTTGTGTTGGAAAACCGAAAAACAGTGACTGAGCAATAAACATGGGGAAAACAACACGCATATCAATAAGATAAAAAAAGAAACAATTTCACTTTGCCTCGATAAATTTCTTCATACTTAAAAACCACGGATCTGTTGAACTCAGTCTTTAAATAGAAACATAAAAAATGGAATGTGTTCATTAAGGCCTGCCCTGTATCACATGATTCTTCAACGCAGTATGTTTTCTTTCATGATATAAATTTTCCTGTTTTGGATTTCCGTCTGATCGTTTTTCCATATGACTTTCTATATTCACTGGAACCACTTGTTGATTACTTCATCAGTCTCGACGCAAAAGAAATCGGAAAAATTACTGCTCATCTCAAGTTCGTCACGCCCCGGCGGCCGGCCCCTCCCCTTTTTCGGTTGACTGGTCGGAAATTGCCAAGATTATTGTAAAACACAAATTCATCTTGGCATCTCAACAACGATAGCCCCCCCCCCAAAAAAAAAACACCGTTTCTTAAATGATAATCGACAATGTACCATCATGGTACCATTATGTGGGGGGTACGCCTATATTACGACGAGTAAATTCTCGAACTTTTCCCACAGCGTTGAGTCATAATCATTGAACCGTAAAGGATTATGGCACAAATGGGGGGTCGTAAATAAATTGGTTCCATGCATGGGGTACGGTGCACCATACACGTAGTACACGTACGTACGTACGGCGGGTCCACGCGCGCAATTCGCAATAAATGTCAAAGTGAAACTTCGGTCCTGTATGTCCTGTTATAATTTTGTACTTTTTGTGGTGGATTTGTAACGCGGAGACAATGGATCAAGTACCACAAATCACGGTGTCAGAATCAACGTAAGTCATTGTTGAGCTAGGGGTAATATATTTGGGGCTGATGTGTCGGGAAGTGTGAAAAAACTTTCGAAGTTTTGGGACAGGAATTACAACAGTCTGGTACCCCTTGCCCCCTGCGGTTGAGGGTCAAGGCAGCTGGGGTGGTGCGCCGTGCCTGGGAAGCGTTTCCCCCAGCAGGGTGTCCGGGTCGTGTCCGCTCAAAGTGGCTGTCTCGTGTAGCTTGCATCAGCTGTAAACGAAGGGGATGTTGCGGTTCCCTATCCGTTCTGTCATGATCCAACCCACTTCTCTTGCCTTTGCTCCACATAATTCACATTAGCACCATATTTGTCACTTCTTGTCTTGTCTTGATGAATACTGCACCAACTGACCAACACCCCTTCTCAGGGGTCACTATTTTATTAAGAGATTTTTGAAAAGATTTTAAGGATTTTCTTCAACTGATCTTAACAATTCAGTAGTCAGTTGTTGGAAGTACTACATGATCAGATGATGATCATGTGCCAGTTCAGGAATCAGGAAGAAAGATTCCAGACATAATTTTCCTTCCTCAATGCTGGGACTTTGTTTGGAAAGATTATGTAAAATGCACAACAAATAACTAAGTGAACATTCCCTTTATTGTGCACTTTATTTTGACTGTCCGTGACTGTTTAAATGGTAGCAGGGTATAAATTGTGAACTTCTCTCAATCGTTGCAACTAGCTGTATTTCAAATTTGTATGTTTAATTGTTCTGTGAGCACTCAGTGCATTTAAAAACTGTAGCTGAAATAAATTGCAGATTAGGCGATAGTGATGTATCATGTGTCAGAAACAGGATGTTGGCATTCCTTCCGCCATTACGTGCCAAGGTTTTTGTCTAATTAATACACATACACAAACCGAAGGGCTTGAATTGCAATTAAAAATCTACCAGACCACAAGCCCATATTACTGGCTCTTCATTTGCAAGACCACTGGATTTCTGCTACTGCGGTCGCCGATAATGTCCGCCCCCTTCAGCTCCGGCCATTAACTGTGTCTCCAGTGTCCCGAGCGGGTCTTAAAGGGACACTACATGTAGGTCCTGGAACAGCCCAATTGGGCTACAAAACGCGCTTTGAACGAGATGATGTTAATCGGAAATAACATTTAAAAGCAGGATATAAACATCCACACAACTGTCCTTTCAAAACTGGGCGTTTTTGTGTTATTCCTGTATTATGCGTGCGAGAACGAATTTCGGGGTCCACTTTTGCAACCCCATAAATTCAAGCTGTTTGGTTGCTAGTTGTGTTTTCATTCATTGAATTGAGTGTTCGCCTTTTGCGGACGTTGAAGAAACCATTTTTTTTGCATTGGTGATGGGTCACCGCGCGCTGTTCGCAAGACACAGAACGTGTTTATCGTACACTGAGAACGACACGAAAAACGTATTCGTACTCCGTCATGTCCGATGTAAACAAGCGGGGTTTTTTTTTGTCTTTTCTCGGGAACGGTAAGACTTTCAACCAGATGTTTGAAATAGGCTAAGTAGACAATCCAAAACATGAAATTTTAGAGGATTTCAGGACCTAGTGCCCCTTTAGTCGTACCATTAAAAACCGACCAAGCATGTATAGTTATTCCCATATTTAATTATCCAAACCCCTTAGTCCTTAGCCTGATTTACTAGGAACCATACCCATCCTGGCAAATTCCAACACCATATGCGAAACTTAACTGCACGCATATATTTCTGACTTTGATTCTGGAGGTGTGCCAACCCAAATGTAAAAGACTGTCAGTTTAGGGGTACTGTACCCATCCTGACAGATTCCAACAAAACATGCCGTTGGGGTTTGATGGGTTGAATTCTGTTAGGGTGAATAAGTTATGGAAATTAAAGTCATTATGATGTACATGTATGTATGTACGGTATAACTTAAAAGAACACGCATTCGTGGTAAACATTTTGTGGATGCAGACATGCAGGAATTGTTTTTACATTGGTTTATCTAGCTCCCAGACTTATGTTCTTGAAACCCAATGGTTCTTGAGTCTGGAGTGCTGAATGGTAACTCATAGCAACCAATGAAAACTGGTCCATGTTTTCATCGGATGACGCCATGCCGCCCAAACCTATAACATGATCACAAAAATGGCTCATGAGTTCGATATACCCGGTAGGGCCTAAGCTATGACTTTTTAATATAATTTTTTTCAAACTTAAATTTTTATTATTAATTTCTGGTAATGAAAACAAGGATTCCTCAAAAGTGCCCAAGGCACTGTAAGCCTTGCAAGCCTGAAAAAAAACCTGTAGAGAGAAGACAATGAAAAGAAATTACAGTTTAAGAGATGGGAGGAAAACCCCAGAAGAATATATTGGGGGAAACCCACGGAATCAGGCAGGGACTGAAAACCCAATCCACATGTTGGCCTAGGCGGGATTCGAACCCAGGTCACAGCGGTGGAAGGCGAGGAAAGTACCGCTTCACCAATCTCACTTTGACACTTTTGACATAATTGTATCAGTAATGATCGGTAATGTAAACAACTGAGTTGCGGTCACAGAAAGCATTAGACACATAATCGGTCTGACAGCAATCAAATCGACATTTGAAACCGTCAAACCTTGGTTTGAAAAGAACATTTGGTACTTCTGGTTCCACTTTTTGTACATGTAACAAAAGCTTTTTGCCCTTTCTGTTTGCCCTGTAAATTCTGACAACCTTTGCCGACTCTAAGCCTTAACACTTTCAGATCACACCTTCACAGAAAAAACAATATTTGAACAGTGTTGAATGCAGACCAACATTTACGGAGGAAATAAACAGTTTAAAAATAGTAACACACCTTGCTTTTCATTGAAATGTGGAGTTTTCATAAATTGCACAACTTTTCAGAAAGTTCTGTTAAAAAAGGTCACTGAAGCATATTAAATCTACAGTTATTATCACAAATACACTTACATAACACTGTAGGCCTACGTCTGTTGATGTGAAAAGTTTTGGAGGTTTGGCTTGTATTTCCAGGGGAAAAGTAATAAGGATTTTATGTACCAAAGACTCATAGGAGGCCTACTCCTAATTTGGGGGGTTATTATCCACATGGGAATGGCCATAAATCATTCTTTAATGGCTTTTCATCTTCATGAGCAAAAACGACGGTCCTAAAATGGTTCTAATCTGGAATAAACAACTATTGAAAAACAAGTTTGCCCTCCAGGGTAGAGAGATATTTGTGGTAAACAGTGTTTTACTCAAGGACGCTGGTATTGGAATGTAATGTCCTAGTTTTTGATGAACTTTTTGTTCATCTCTTTGCACAGCATTAGAATGGAAATGAGGCAGCATTCGTGAAACAAGTTACAAAATTACAACTGTTACATACCAAGTGTGGACACTCCCTTGCTTTCGTGTAGTTAAGAAAAAGCTCATTTTTACTCTCACTGTGAAAACACTTTCAACCCAATTTTTTTTCTACGATTCCCTTTAGTGTTTCTCTTCATTTTGCCACGGATAAACCTAACCCAAAAATGCCTCTAAACCTGTTTTCCAGAAATGGGGAAACACTGTGTGGACTTGCCCAAGTCCACACAACGTCGCCTCTACCTGGTTCATGTGATTTTTGACCTCTTTTGTTTGGAAGTCCACACAGTGAATGTAACGCTTACAATCCCGGGACATACCGTTATTTCGTTTTACCGTTTTGGATTTCCTCAGAAGCAACAACAGTAAACGAGCCATTGACTGTTTTGTCGTTTTACAGTTTTGTAAAACGGTCAAACGGTATTAAGTCACACAAAAAAAAATTACCTTTTTATTGTTTTTGTAAATTGTAAAAAGTAATAAACGGTTAGTTGCTTTATTTTTAGAGTGTTGTTTTACAAAAACATGACAATGTCAAAACGGTCAATAGTCTTGTCGACCATTTTTTTATTCAGGTTTAAGTTGGCAATTATAGCAATGCGGCACCTTGGAATATTAATGTGTCCTTGGGATCAAGTCACTGCCTGTCAAATTGCCCTCCTTACATTTATGTCGTTCTAGTTCTCACGACAGAATTTGAGAATATTGGCTATTAAAGAGCCGCGCTGGCCACTCCAATTTCCTTCAACATATCTGCAACTTCTTCGTACGTCTTACCACCCTGTAACTATTCTGAAATTTCCTCCATGAAATTTTCCAGCGCCATTTTTGTTTGCAACTCTTCAAGCCCCACCAACTGAATCGCAGTAGATGGGGGTCAAGGTCACGCGAGGAATCACACCGCGCATTAATTATGCCGAGGTAACACTTCTTCGTGCACGGCATGGTCCCCTCCAACCTCCTCCCCCTTGCCCACCGCCACAAAATGCACCACGGACTGTTAACTATGACACTGAAATAAAAAAAAAACAGTCTGTATTCAATACTGACCGTTTTGCTGTTTATCAAACTTATTTGTGTAAAACTGTAAAACAAAAATCATTGATCGTTATGCTGTAATGAAATTTACTAAACTGATAAAACGGAATAACCGTATTTATCTTAATACCGTTTGCCGTTTTACAAAACTGTAAAACGACAAAACGGTCATCGGTTCGTTTACTGTTTTTGTTTTTGAGGAAATCCAAAACGGTAAAACGAAATAACGGTATGTCCCGGGATTGCTTACCCATGTGTACAAATACAGTGGTTTAACCCTAACCTTCCAAAATCCACTTTGCAAAATGGAGGATTTTGCAGGATTGAGGCTATGTATGGCAAAACTGTGTTGCTGATTTCGTAAGATGCACTGTGTCAAGGTCTTGGGCCGGACCTTGTGTTGTTTATCAGCCATGCACAAGTTTAGGCTTACGGTACATGCCCATGTACCAGTATATTGTACTTGAAATCCTCCACACTGCTCCAGGTTGTCACTGGCTCTGCCTCAACATATTGACAGTGATTGCCGGAGGTTTTTGCAGGATTGAGGATGCTATTTTTACATGGAGGCAGTTGGAGGATTTTGCAGAATTGAGGTTACATCGTAGCAAAAATGCCTAGGGAGTTAGGGTTAATTGATTAATAAACTGCAGGACTTGCCATGCATGTGTGCGGAGGCATAAGAAAGGTTTTGGGGTGAAAAGTATTAGTAGTACCGGTAGTAAAGTCTGTAGTGAGCCAATTTAAGGCCAATCAGGCCAGACTTTATCTCTGGTTTCACTTTCAGTAGTGTGAAATGACCGAGAATATTTGTACTTCCCCCTGGATGGGATGCCAGTCCATCGCAGGTTACTCCCCAGCTAATGCCGGTACCCATTTATACTCCTGGGTGGAGAGAGGCAAGTGGGGGTAATGTGGCTTGCCCAAGGACACAATATGTCGCCAGGAGATGGATATGAACCCCTGACCCTGTGATCTCGAGTCAGGAACCCTAACCACTGGACCTTACTCCCAGCTCTGAATTTTCTTATTAAATACCAGTAGTAACTACACTCAACCAAAAAAGAAAGTCCCCCCCCTTCCCAATACTTTGTTGTCTAACTCAAAAACTACTGAGCACCTCTCACTCAAATAATGACTCATCAGCACAGAAATTCCTCAGCAATCCAGCCATACTCTTTATTTGGCACAAAACAGTGATAATGTGTACAAAATTATGCAATTTATGACAAATGATACTGAAAACAGTTGCACTTTCGTATACGTGCATGTTGGGGTTCACACTCATCTTGCTCGTATACATGTATGTACAAAAGTGCAACCTTTTTTCATAAATTGCATAATTTTGTGCACATTATCACTGTTTTGGGCCAAACATAGAGTATCCATGCTGGATTGCTAAGGAATTTCTGTACTGATCAGTCGGAGTTTGAGCAAGATGTGCCCAGCAGTTTTTGAGTTAGACAAAAAAGTATTAAGGGGGGACTTTCTCTTTTGGTTGAGTGTAGTATTAAAGGGAATTACAATGTACATCATTGGCTTTTGCTGTAATGAAATGAATTTTCAGGAATGAACTATTTGAGGGGTTAGTATAATAGATCAAATACACTGACATGTTTGAAGTTTTGTGTTCGAAAATGCTTGAAAAACCAAGAAAAACAAAAATGTTCAAGTAGTCTGGTTCCCTGACTCCACTAAAGACGAAATGGATCCTGTTCCGGAAAATTGTACGGTAAGGGAACCAGTCTCGCTGGCCTGCACCTGTTCATGAACATGTTGCCAATAGCAAAGAAAATTTGGACTGAAAAAAAATGGTGAATTTGGAGCAGTCGTTGAAAAATAGTTAGGTTTTTCATACAAAAATACCACTTGTCTTGAAAATGACTTTACACCAGGTGCCACAATTTTACAGGATGCTTTAGACTGTCATTTACCAACATCCTAGTAAGGTAGTTCCTAAAAATTTGATAGTTTTGTTTTTCGATGTTTGCAAATGTTGTACATTCCCTTTACCGGTACCTTTTCTGATGCGTGTTGTAACCATTTAGCATTGCCATGGAATTGTACCGAATGTTCGTTAAAAAGTGAAAGAGGGAAATTGCAGCAGGAAAAACCACAAAATTGTCAACTCAGATCATGAAGAAACAATGATTTGACACTACGAATAGCTACATGTATCAGCTTTCTAAGGGAAACATTTTTGAGGAAACAGCATGTGAAGTTATTCGCTATAATTTATAAAGAGAGATGCTCGGTCGGTGGGAATCAGTCTAGCCTGCATGAATTGTCTGGCCACAAACAATCAATGTTTCATTCAAAAGTGAAGATCTTTGTGTTGCCAGAAATATGGTAGTATTAAAGTAGTCTATTACTGAATGAGCCAATGTGGCCCATCAGGCTGGTGTTTATCTCCGGTTTCAAGGACAGAGAATATTTTTACTCCCCCTGGATGGGATGCTAGTCCATCACAGGTTACTCCCCAGCTAATGCCGGTAACCATTAATACTCCTGGGTGGAGAGAGGCAAGTGGGGTAAAGTGGCTTGCCCAAGGGCACAACATATGGCCAGCAGCTGGATTCGAACCCATGACCCTCTGATCAAGAGTCACGAACCCTAACCACTAGGCCACACTCCCCAGTAAAATAGTAATTCATTCAAATTTAAATTAAATTTTTCAGGGTGAAAATTAATCTTGTTCATCTCCGAACCTTTTTGCATTTTAAGACATAGTGCTTTTTTGGAGATTTCTTTTTGTTAACTTGTTCATGTTTCTCCATAAATAACCCCAAATCTATATATATATATTTTTTTCACAGACATCCAATGGATAAAACTGACACTGTGCACATCTCATTTGAAGAAGGACAGCAGCCTCCTAGCAACGACATGGATGCCGATCTCCATGACAATGCCCGCTCCTCCTTCATCTCCAGCTCCTCGGGGACGTCGGGAACATCCGACGAGTCGATCAACTACCGAGACTCTGTTATCTCGTACACCTCCATTGACTCCATGGACAGGCAATCAATTGCTTCAGAAGGTTCGTGTATACATTGTCAGTGCGAAGCTTATGCCATGCTTAGAACTTACGCAAAACAATTACGCGATAAACTTGGCGTAGCTGTGCAATGTTTTTAAACTAATTCAAACATCTTGGTAGAGGATGGTAACGGATAACTTTTACGAAGTCTGTTTGTGTCTGAGTTTTGTTAGATCACAAAACAGTTGTTTTGGAAAGAAAGTTGTCTGACTTTCTTCCAGAATCGTGCGGTGGCTCTAAAAGTTTTGTCACGGGTAAAATAGTAATTCAAGACATGGTGACGTCACGCTTTGTTTACATGGGCGCTTTCCTATGGGACCCGGGGGGGGGGGGGGGCGATTGATTGGCGTCCCCACAAGTAAACAAAGTGTGACGTCATAATGTCTTAGGTCTATTACTTTAAAAACAAGCTATGAATTTCTTGTATCAACCTTGATAAGTTAGAAAAATGACAGGCTCCACAAGAATCATGATTATTCAGTGAAATAGTCCATTTTCAGTCGCTAGGCCACAACCTATATACGCCACCTAAAATGATTGCGTAAGTTACGCCATAGTTTGTTGCGTAAGTTGTGGACTTATGCAATGTGCAACTTTTGTGAAATGTGTCATAACTGAAATGTTGGGCATTTCAACTTGCGCAATAAAATGTGGCATTAGTGGATTGATGCCATTGCGTGATTTTTGTCAAATCAACTGCTGAATACTTACATACTTGTGCATGTAGGACCTTTAACCAGTTCGCGCCGGAGGCCTTGATAATACGCACTGGCTGTTTTTGTACCCAGGCACGGCTGACGCATAAAGATGTCAAGAGTGCCGTCTAAACAAGCTAATCCCTTGTTCCTTTTGTACACACACCCAAACGTGTGTTCACTGTGGATCGTGGACGTCCTATTGTTCCTCTTTTGTTTGTAACTTTTTAGGGAGACTCCCATAGGTTTTGTACAGGACCCCAATTGTGGACGTATGCTGGGAATCGTGGACGATATTGTTCACTTTTGTTCTCCGGTATTTTTCGTCCACGGTTTGAAAAGATGAACACGTACACACAAAGTCTGTGTTGTCTGTGGAGGCTGACCGTTGTGCACAGCCTTTTGTTGTACAATTTACGTTCCACATACATGTATACCCCGTTGTATTGAAACATACAAGGTTTCGGCAAGAAATATTGCACAAGTACTGTTGAAATGACTTTTATGAATCAGTATTTGTGGCGTTTGCCTGTATATCAGAAGTTGGCTGGGAAATTTTTAATTTTGAAAATTTCGGCAAAATTATACTCGGGGCTAAGTGGTTAATAACACTGTGTATTGAGATTCCCAAAACTTAACAATGTGGTACAGAAAAAAAATCAAAACATTCAATAATAAAAAAAAAGGAAAACAAGTGTCAAAATCATTTAAGAACAAACAGTAACTATTTCCATATTTAGGGTTCATACTAAATATTCATATGTTTCACTGGTTTCCTGTTTAGCTGGTGGCCTGTCTCGCATTAATTCCACACGCTCAATGCCCCCGGAAAGGACCCACAATGATTCGGATGGATCCGAAGACGGCCATATGCTCATAAAGTAAGTACTGAAAAAGTTGATTCAAAACTATGAATTTGTGATTGTCATTTTAACTGTTTTGCCGCAATGCAAAGTATTTGAAACTTTTTACTGTTTAAAGTCAATGTTAACCCAAACTCCCTAGGCAATTTTGCTGGGATGCAACCTCAATCCTGCAAAATCCGCTAACTGCCTCCATGTAAAAATTGCATACAGCCTCAATCCTCCAAAATCATCCGTTAGGCCAATTTCTTGAATGTGGTCCTTGGAGGGGTGACCGCTGCCTCAATCCTGCAAAATCCTCCAGCAATCACTGTCAATATGTTGAGGCAGAGCCAGTGATATCCTGGAGCAGTGCGGAGGGTTTCAAGTATAATCCAGGCCTAAATTTATGCACGGCTGAGCATAAACAACACAAGGTCCGGCCTAAGACCTTGACACAGTGCATCCTCCAAAATCAACCGCACATTTTTGCCATATAGCCTCAATTCTGCAAAATCCTCCATTTTGCAAAGTGGATTTTGGAGGATTTGGGAAGGTTAGGGTTAAACAACAATAGTGTGATACCTTCTTCAATTTAAATGAAAGTAAGAAACTTTTCAAAAGTTATTTTGACGACACTTTTTGTCACTAATGTCATTGTCACTACTAAATGAGGTGACTTTTGTGAACTTTTTTCCCGGAACATATTGAGCTCATAAATATTTCTTGTGAATATGAGGCGGCATGCTTTATTTTTTACCTCGAAAGCCTTTGTTCATGTGTAAAACCATGACTCAAGGAAATGTAAGGTCAGCTGGTTTTCCTTTCCAAAAAAAATTGTTTTTTCTCTAGAACAACGCAAGCCATTGTTAAAATTGTGACGTGTATCCGTCAAAGTCCACCACATTTAACATTTTGCTGGTTTTGGGAAAGTTGAGTTCAACCACTATATGATTTATTTTAAACTTTTCTCCAAATGTGGTTAAAAAAAAAGAGTTTGCGGTCGGCTTTTTTCCCCCAGCCTGATGAGGAAGCAGAATGGTCCCTTTAAAAATGTCCTGGATGGATTTGAATGTCATACTGTAGAACAAATTTAAACAAATTGTAGAAGATTAGGGAATGAAAATTTTGATCTTAGCAGATTCTGTCTCAGCATTCTGATCTGTAGTGCAGTCAAGGACGAGCAGGTCCTCTAGATCTTTCACAAACTTCTGAATTTATTTTTATCATTTAGCGGTCAAATATTCTGCATCGGATAGATCTCCTTAAAGTTATTGTAGAGTAGATCATTATTTGCAGGTACTGGTATTCTAAAAGTAACTGACCAAAATATAGTTGAAAAGCTTACTTGGTTTAAAGATAGTAGTGGCACTAAACTCCCTGTGAAATTATTCTTTCTGGCATTCTGTCATTTTGAAGAAAGCAATAAAAGAAGGCCATGTGACACATTGTTGGCAAGTTCCGTTAGTTGTTGGTTTGTAATTTGGCGAATCCGTGAATGGGTGCATGCAAACGTTGACACAACAAACACGCGCTAGCGCGGTTGCTATTGTTTGTCGGTTCAGTGTGTGACATCGCGTAGCTGCAATCGGCTGATTGAGAATGTGTCCCAGATGCTGGTTTCGGGTGCAATTTAAAACACGACTCGGCACCTTTTGAATTTAAATCGAGATCCTAGAATATTGTTTTCTCGGGATATACAGCATTCACGGAGCCAAAACTTCATCATGTTAGCTGTTAAGCACCGGTCTTAAGATTTTGAGCACTTAGTTGCTTCAAACGAAGAAAATGCACAAATGACAAATGATACCCTATTTTTAAAAACAAGGGCTCAAATTAACTTGGGTTTTCCATTCATTTCAGTGGCATTTTCGGTTAAGTTTGATGTGCAGCCCAAGATTTGTTCAACCCTTGTTTTGTAACCACTGTACCCGGTACAGTACATGTTAAGTCAGTTGGTCAGTCAGTCAGTTCATCGACTCAAACCAGGCGTGGCTTGAGAAGAGCACAATGCCTGACATGCCACACATCATGGTCGCCTATACAGCTGGACAGCCCTTCCTTGGTGTCGACTTCTGCGTCTTCCATCAGGACCTTGTCCATCGTCTTCACTGATCTCTCCCCCCCCCCCCCCCTCGGATAGCCCAGATCATCCTGATATGGCACCCATCAAGGGACTTGACTAAGGACTTATTGAGGGTACATGTTAATTAACTCCCTAGGCCTCTTTGCTAGGATGTAGCCTCAATCCTGCAAATTCCTCCATTACTTCTTGAATATGGTCCGTGGAGGGGTGACCACTGCCTGAATCCTGCAAAATCCTGCGGCGGTGACTGCAATATGTTGAGGCTTGGCCAGTGACATCCTGGAGCAGTGTGGAGGATTTCAAGCATAATCCAGGCCTATATTTATGCATGGCTGAGCAAAAACAACACAAGGTCCGGCCCAAGACCTTGATAAAGTGCATCCTACGAAATGAGTAACGCACTTTTGCTATGTAATCTCAATCCTCCAAATTCCTCCACTTTGGCAAAAAGGATTTTGAAGGATTAGGGTTAGAGTTTAGCTCCTTTGTTAATCTCCCTAGCGAAGAATTGAGGTTTTTTTTGTACCAAGTACCGGTACATGTAGACCAGTCGTGATTACTGTTCGTGTGTTAAGTGCAAAATTTCCTCTTCCAAATCTTTTTTTATTTACAACGTACATGTATACTTCATACATGATCTGATACACCGTGCTCTCTGGAGACATGCACACAATAGGGAACAAAAGATTGTATACGTCTCCACAGGCCAATTTCTATAGATGAACACGTCTCCACAAGGTTTTCACAAAATATATGGATTTTCCGCCCCCCCCCTAAAAATTTTGAAACGAAAAATTTTGAAACTCGACACATGCATAGAGCAACTCTTCCTAAACATACCCAAGAAATTTCATGACTATAGGTCAAAGGGTTTTGGAATTATGGCTAATTAATTATTCATATGTACGAATGGCAATTCTGCTCTGTGTACACGACGTATATGCGAAAATTCAGTTTTCATGGCGCGTAGCGCCGGAAAATTTTTCGCTACGCGGCAACCCGTGATCCGATTTTTATGTTTTTGGTATCAAAAGATGCGCAAAGCTCGAGGCTAAAAAGTCATAAAAGCTCGGGTCGCGAAAAAATTTTTTTGAGGCTATCACGGAAAATGTTGAGGGGGGGGCGGATTCCACCCCCCCCCCCGGCCCCTTTAGGGTTAAAGTAAAAAGGCGTACATATCTTTTGTTGGTTACACATTTTGCGTCTGGCATTTCCTTATATTTTGTTTGCATTTTTTTTGTAGACAAACTGTATCTACTGTTCGTATGTGGTGCAAAATGTCGTCTTCCAAATCTTTTTTATTTACAATGTACATGTACACTTCATACATGATCTGATACACTGTGCCCTCTGGAGACATGCACACAATAGGGAACAAAAGATTGTACACTGCACTCAACTGGTTGGCCATGTTGGGCAGAAAAACCCACTATTGTTGCTGAACTGTAGTTTCAGAAACCCTTGACATGCATGCATTACTACCTGTATGCATCAATACAATGTATACGTGTACAATGAATGTATACATTGTAGCACATCTGCCATTTTTCCTGTTTATGTACATTCGTTATATTTTTCCAAAACCTGGTTCTGCCAGGTTTAGGAAATGAGTAGCATGTCTCTTCGAGGAAGTGAAAGAAAAAAAAACCCCGCCCATATTGTTGCAACTTGTTTGTCACTGTCAAACTTGTGACCTGCCTTTACAGAATGTGGATAATGGTCTCGTGCATTTATAACGCATAGCACAGGTGTGCCGCTATTCACCTGATTTGAATATGAATGCTTGAATACCAAAATCTACAGGTGTATTCTATTATTCATGCACTTGTGCTGTAGAGTGGGTTATCTATTGGGTCAAGTATGCACATGTATATTTGCTGGTATATTGCCTACTACAGCAATAAATGCATGTTGCTACTGCTATTGGAATTACTCATTCAATTATAGCAAGTGGTAATGGTTTCAAAGTTTTGGACGTGTTGTGTTGAATAGAATTTTGCTGTTGTCAATGTATACAATCAAGTATTGAGAATTTTTTATTGCAAAAGTTTTACTAATTCGGGTGATTCACAATGCAGTGCGCAACCAAGAGTTTGCCATGAACAGCGCACCGTTGTTACGTCGCCTTCATTGGCTACCAATTCGAGCACGCATAAATTTCAAACTTCTTGTCATTGTATACAAATGTATCAACTCTATGGCACCTTCATATCTCCGAGAACTCATCTCTTTCAACACATCTGTCTATGCCACCCGCTCATCATTTGACAAAACACGTCTCCATAACCCCCAAACTAAGTCGCGTACTGGAGATCGTGCCTTTCAAGCCGCTGCCCCCCGGCTGTGGAATTCCCTTCCCCGTGACATCCGGGAAGCCAACACACTTCAGCTCTTCAAAAATAGACTCAAAACCCATTTATTTGTTTTTAAATCATGCCATATATATGTTATTTTGCTTGTATAGTTTTTTTTGTATAGTTCTGTATCAATGCATTTTTTGTTTGTATCTTTAATTATTTTGTCAGCTTTTGTAAAGCGCTCCGATCCTTATATAAGGATCTATAAAAATGCCTATATGTATGTATGTATGTACATGTATGTATGTATGGAGAGTCCATTTTTCAAGTTTAAGGTCGACAAAACATGGCCCATTTGAAAGAGTGTTAGTAGACAACTTGAGCTAATATGTTATATTGGGGCTTAGCGTTCTGCTGCCTTACAAAAACACTATGTTGATAAAAAGAAAAGAAAACGTATACTCGAATCATATGCTTATGAAAATGCTGGCCGCAAGAACTACATTTTTGTACATGTAACAATTTCAAATGTCCCGCACTGCGAATATGTCGACCATCTGCCACGATTAATGTACTAGGAAAAATGAACTCTACATGGCATACTCTTCAGGTGGCACACTATTAACACCCGAATTGAGTCACTACATGTACATGTA